CAGAACATTGTCATTGTTTTGAAGCCCCATATGCCTGTCCCTGGTCATCCCCCTTTCTCTTCCACTCTTTCCTCTCACAATTCTTTTCTTGTGTAAATGTCTCCCTCTGCATCTTTTCTGTAACTTTGAGAGCTTTCTGCGAACTTTCCTCCGTTTTTGTCTCTTCCTGTCTGTCTTCATATGCTCACGCCCGTGTACCCCCAACCCATAGTTCCTGCCCTTGCACCTCTCTTCAGATCAACCCTGGAATCTCTGTCACCCACTACAGGAGCAAGCAAGCCTGATGTCAGCGCTGGAGCCAGCAGAGCAGGCAGATGTTGAGGGAGGGAAGCAGGAAAGCCTTGTGGAAGGGGAGCTGGAAGAGAAGGAGACCCCCCCCTCTCCCGGGCTCATCCACCCCAATGATGTCCTCAAGATTCTGGAGGCCTTTGTCATGGGTCTGAAGAAGCCTAGGTGGGCTGTGGTGCTGGAGGGCTTGCCTGAGCACTGGGGAAGCTGCATGGGATGGGGCCAAGCAGGTGCTAGTGAGTGGAAAAGAGGCTAGTGAGCAAGATCTTGGGGGGTGAGGAAAGGGATATCTAAAGGGAGGGCGAGAGGAGTCATTGGACATTATCTTGAAAGAAAGGGGGTGTAGAAGTGATTTGCATTTTTTCATTCCTCATTCATTCAATCAACAAACAAGTACTGGGGTCTGCTATGTGTAGGCCCCTGAGAGATACCTCCTTGTGGTCAGAACAGTGGTCAGAGCACATACAAGGTGTCACGTTGCTCAGAGGCAGAAGTGGTTGACTCCAACTGGCATGTCAGATAAAGCTTTAGGAGGAGATGGCACCAGAACTGGGTTTTCTTAAGTGGATAAAGTGGGGCAGAGGGCATTTCACGATGTGACAACCCGGGGCAAGGCCTGGTGTGTTCAAGAATCATGACAGAGAGGGATGGTTAGTGTCAGGGGTCTGGGAAGTGGGAGCGGTGATCTCCAGATCATGGAGAGCCTTGCCCAACGTGCCCGAGATTTTTGTCGTTACCCTGCAGTGGGCCGGAGCCAGAAAGGGGCCTGAGGCGGTGGGGGAGCTGTGGTTAGACTTGTGTTTCAGAAAGATCACTTTGGTGGCAGGGAGGGGGTGATGCTGGATGCAACGAGAGCAGTCAGGTTTGTCCAGGTCGGGGTGAAGTCCTGGATTAAGGCCATCCTAGCAGAGATGGAGAGGAGATCACCCATTTTGAGAGCTGTTTTGAATGCATTAGTGAAGAAATGGGCATAGTTTGAGCCGTAAGGCCAGTGAGGTAAACTGATGGAGAGAAAGAGGGTGGATGAAACTCTAATGACAAAAGTGACAATGACACCGAGAATCGGGAACATTGATGATAAGTATGTGTCCTTTTGGAGGATCCGTCATAATCTGGTTGATAAACATGTATAGCTGAGTGGGTAGGTGACAGGTGGGTAAGTGGTAGGTCTGTGAGGGACAGACATGGTGACCGGCACTGCTTGGGGGCCTGAGTGGTGCCGGGGGGGAGGGTGGTACCAGTGCTCTTGACCTGCAGGGACTCTCGGGCGCCAGTGAAGTTGATGAAGGACGTGCGTGATGACTCAGAGGACTCTGAGTACTGGAAGGCCCTGGCCACAGTTATCCCCGACGCCACGCAGAACCTCTGGGATGCGCTCTACACGGCCTTGGAGAAATACCAGTAAGTGTGGACGTCCTGGCCCAGGAGAAGGAGGGAGCCGGGCGGGTAGGCGGGGGAAGGATTCTGCTTGGAGCAGCCGCATTTACCACCTCCCGTCCCATGAACTCTTGGGGAGAAGAGCTGCCTTTGGCAACTCCTGATGAGGGACACATCACATCTGGACCTGTCCTCCCTGCCCTTTCCCACTAGCCTGGCTCGTGCAGGGCAGGAGGGTTGCTCTGGTGGCTGAGACTTCTGGGGTCCTCTTCCACCTCCACCCACAACAGACACACAGAGACCCTGGCCCCTGCTTGGTAGAGGATGAAGGATTCACTGGGCCTCTAACCTACGTTTCTTCCCGAAGCCTCGTTCTGACGCAGAGGGCCAAGCTGCTGATGGAGAACAGTTCTCTGGAGCAGCAGAACACAGAGCTCCAGATGCTGCTGCAACAGTATCTAGATTCCAAGGTGGGTGACAGGGACCCTGCAAGGTAGGCGGGGTGCTCAGGAGGCCGGGGGAGGCGGTGGGACTGGAGCTGATGTTAGGAAATGAGGAGCCCTCTTCCTCCGGAGGCCAGGGAGCTTTGAGATGTGGGTTGTAATAGTGTCCCTTTGATGCCCACGGTTTTGGGCACCAGCTGCTGTTGGACCACTCTTAGAAGCAGTCCCACTCTTGGAAGCAGTGACAGCTCCACAGCTTCCAGAGCGCTTCCATAGGATTTTTCTTTTTTGGTCTCAACAACCCGTCTGTGAGGTACCTAGGGCAGTAATTATTCTCCCCCTTTCACAAAAAGGAGAATCAAAACATGGAGACTTTGTAACTTGCCCAGAGTGCGGGCTTTCCCACTCTGCCAGCCCACTTGTCTGGCGTAGGATGTGGCGTGGTTAGAGGAGGCTCCCGATGGGGCAGATACTGCCTGGCCCCCACTCCTGCCCACTCCACTGGTAGTTGGGGCAGCTTCCTCATGGCCTGAAAGAGGACAAATCTCATTGTCTCTGCTCCAGAGGGAAGAGTTCACTCATAACACAGTTGCTGGCTCTGCTGTGCTGATGTGGCATCCTTCATGTGGTCCCGAGGCCATGGGCCAGGAGGGTTGTGCCACACTGGGCCGAGCGTCGGTCCTGCATCATCAGCTGTGCATGTGAGGCCAGCCACAAGCCCAGGCACTGGGGGGGTGTGGCCCCATGTGGTCTCAGGCCCAGGCCACACCTGAATGGGGATGTGGTAAGCCTGAGTGTCGTAACAGCTTCTTGGCCTGTGACAGGTCTCAGACATTAGGGGACCGTTTGGTCCATGCTTCCTTTGATGCTGCTGTGTATAAGAGTTTAGGGGAGAGGGCGGGGCTAGACTGAGGATGGGATGGGCAGGTGAAGAGGAGAGGGGAGCATTTAAGAGAACGGCAGAGCAGAAGGTGGAGAATGTTACTGGAGGTTAGCTTGCCAGAGAAACCAAACAAGAAGCCCAGGGGCTTGTCTTCTGAAGGAAGGCCGACGGGGGCTTTCCCAGGCATTTGGAAGCATTTGGGGAGGACAGGCTTGCAGAGGCTTGGAGGCCTGTGGGAGAGCCAGCGTGTGCCCCTGACCCCAGAGCCAGGGAGAAGGAGGGCCCTGGGGAAAGCAGAATGACCTTTGTTCTTTCTTTTCCAGATAAACTCGGAACTGCAGGTTCCTCCGACTCAAGTGTTCGGGGTACCTGCAAAGTAGAGCCAGACCTCGGAGGCTGCGGGATCAGGGCAGATGCTGGTGTTGGTGTCGGTGCCGGTGCCTGAGGCGCATGCATCACCTGGGAGCTGCCTGGGTCTGCTCTGGATGTTCCGGAGCCGCTGTTGTAGGTCCTGTCCAAATAAGGCGACAAGAGGAGTTACCTGTATCCTCAGTCATGATTAAAGTCTTTAAAAAGTTGTGGCTGAATCTGTCTGAAGAGGTCAGGTCCGCTGTGACACGGCCCCCTGCCCCCAGCTCTGTGTCACGAGGGGACTTTGTTCCCGTCCTCAGATCGTGGTGTGAGGACAGGCACGTTGCTGTGAGACAAGGCCCAGGCAGCGGCGTGGGGCCCCTTCTTGCTTCTGGGGGCGGTTGGTTTCTATGCATGGAGGCTGGAGCTCTGGGGCTCTTGTGGGGTCTTAGGCCTTCAGACTGTCCTTGGGCCTGCAGGACCCCTTTGGTGAGGTTTTGGGGCCCCTGGGTCCACCCTGGTGTGCCCCCTGGGCTGTGACATGAGGGTCCTTCTGTGGGCAGCCTGGGCAGGTGGCCTTAGGCCCGCCTGGAACCCTGGACCATGAGGCCATCCAGAGGGGCCCAGCTGGTATTGAGTTTGCCAACCTCAGTGTGCCCACTGACCCTGTGCCCCCACACCCGTCCCCTCACTTGACCAACTGCAGACTTGTCAACTCAGTGTTTGATTTCTTTTATTAAGAGAAAAATCACCACTCAAGAAAGGAAAAACAGCAAAGAGAAACCCAGCTCACACAGGCAGAGGGCAGCACTTCAAAGAACAAACTCCTGGCTGAGCTGTAGGGACCGAAGGGCAGGCTCTGCAGGGGGAGGGCAGAGGTTGCCTGGGGAGGTGGGGGGACCAGAGGTTCGCTCTCACTGCTCCGTGTCTAGGCTTGTGAGCACTAGCCTGGCCGAGGAAGCTCTGGGAAGCCATAAACCCCACAGGCAGGGCAAGGCCTGGGCTTGTGTACCCGCCATGGCCATGGCGACTGCCCGGGCAGGAGGAGGAGCCCTGGGCCATGGAGCCAGATGGAGGCAGCCACGGCAGGGTTAGCAGGAAGGGTCTGGCCCACTTCTGCAGCATGACGGTGGAGTCAGCGGCCCTCACAAGATGATGTCTGGGGAAGGGCAGGGGGATGCTGTTTGCTTGTTCTTTCTTTTCAAAGCCCTGGGCACTGGCCCAAGACATGATTCTCAGTTAATTTCATTAAAGCTTTAGTGCTTGCCAGAAGGCCTGGGGGAGGGTGTGGGGTGGCTTCTTCAGAGCCAGGGCCTGCAGAAGTTGCCTCAGCAAGCTGGGGCAGATCCCCAACCCCTCCCACATTCCCCACCCACAGGCAGGGACCAGAGAGGCAGGACAGGGCGAGCAGCAGGCTTGGGGTGGTGATGATGGGCGCCCCAGCAGCCAGGAGGCAGGCTCCTGGGACCTGAGGCCCCAAGGGTGGACACCGGGCTCCTCAGGCTCCCCAGGGAGACGGGAACGTCCACGCCAAGGAGGGGGAAAAGCACAAGCCCAGGAGAGGAGCTGCAGGGAGGCCATGGGGCCTTCACGCTCCTAGGAGCTTCTTGACCATGTAGCCGGGGAGGCTGTAGAGGAAGAGGGCCAGCATGAGCAGCCCCAGCAGCGCCAGCACGATCTTGATGATGAGCCACTTGTACCGTGTGCAGATGAGGTACTTGATGGACTTGAGGGGGTTGAGGAACCAGACGAAGGCCGTGTCGGGCCGGCTGCAGGAGGGGGAGACTCAGTCAGGCAGTGGCGGCTCTCAGGGCACCCCCTCCCTTCAGCCCTTCTAGACCCCAAGAGGCCCCATCACAGCCACGGTCCCAGAAGCAATGAGGGCGGGAGGCAGGGTTCGAGCCCACTTCTCAGCATCAGGTTTGCAGCTTATATTCCCTGTCGTCTTTGCAGGACCCCCTGGCACCCCCCGCCTCCTCCCAAGGCCTCAATGGCATTTCTGGCATTGGGCAGCCATCCAGCCTCGACCTGGATGCTCGCAGCGATGGCAGCTCACCACCTGAAGAGGCAGCGTGCTGCAGGCAGCCCTGAGTATCAGCTTTCGCAGTTCAGCAACGTGGTCCATTGCCCCTGCTCGCTCTCCGTGAGATCAGCACCCCTCACCTCCCCGCCTTTCCCATGAACAGAAGCTTCTGTCTGCACCAGGCCCTGCCAGGGGTCTGAGGAGCCCTGTCACCCTCACCCACCGGCCCACTGCCAGGCTGCCATCGCTACTCTACCTTCTGCACGGCCTCCTGGCCAAGAAGTGCATGTTGAGGTTTATATTCTGTTGTTTGTGTTCCAAAAACAACAGGTTTTATGAAATGTCAAGATAGAAAAATCAAAGTATTGAATATGCTTTTTCAAATTCCTGCCCCGCCAACTCCTGGAGGACACTGCGGAGCGGGGGTGTGGGCTCAGGGCACCTGGTTTCCAATCCAGGCTGGGACAGGCAAGTGGGGCACCTCTGTGAGCCTCAGTTTCCTCACTGACACAATGGGGTTGACAGTGGACCCCGCCTCCGGGGTTGGTAAGGGCTGAAGGGAGGCAGTGACAGGCGACGCCCCCAGCACTGCCTGGCGCGGAGCATGCTCAGCAAAGGCTGGCTCCTGAGCCGTTGACATCGGGTGGAGCTGCTGACCACTCTGTAGGGCGGACAGCGGCTCTGGTCGCCAGGTGGATGCTGGTAGAAACTATGCAGGACTCACTGGCTAATCCTAGGCAAACCCTTTCCCCTCTCCCTGTCCAGAGCTCAACTTCTTTCTGCCAGCGGGACCGGGGTGGAGTCTGTCAGGAATGTCGCTGGGCGAGGAGGTGGTATAGTGCGAAGAACACTGGATCGGCAATTGGGAAACCCAGGCTGAGTCCTAGCTCTACCCTAATTTGCTAGGTGACCTTGGGCAAGCTACTTCACCTCTCTGGCCTAATATGTAAACGTGCAAAATAGTCACTTCCAGTTCTGAGTCTGCGGAACTATTTGAAAGCTTGAAAGTTGGCTGTGTCTGTGTGTGCATATGCGTGTGTATGCATGTGTGCGTGCACTTGTGCATGTGCACGTGTGTGTTCTGCATGCTGCTCAGCTCATGAGCCCTAGCTCCAGAGGAAGAAGGGAGGAGTACCAGACCCAGGAGGATGCCGGGCTCGGGCCCCCAGGATCTTCTTGGCCAGGTAGCCAGGCACAGAGTAGAGGAAAAGGGCGAGGCGGAGAAGCAGAAGCGCGAGCGGCAGCAGTTTGAGGAGCAGCCAGCGATATGTGTGCCACAAGAAGTAGCAGGCAGACTTGAGAGGGTTCAAGAACCAGATGAAGCTTGTGTTGGGCCGGCTGGAGCAGCAAGAGGAGCGGAGGGGGCACGGAGAAAGGACACAGGGAGTGAGGGCTCAGGGCATGGCGAGGGGCCCCAGCCAGGAGGGGCCTGACCCTGGGCTGAGTGTGCGTAGTTCCCGCCACCTCCACAGCCATCAAGGCTGCCTGGGGCCCCAAATTCCACCACTGCAGCTGTTTGCCTTTGACTGAAGCTAGGAAGAGCACTTGACTCTGCTAAGTGTGGCCTTCCCGCGAGGGGCGCTGCTTCCCAGGACGGACAGCCCCTGCTCTGCTTCAGAAGGAGCTGGTGGATTCCGCAGGGAAGGAGAGGAACAATGAGGCTGTGGCCCAGGGAGGGACAGAGAGGGCAGAGGTGCCTGCAGAGCGGGGGCAAGAAGACCAGAAGGTTCTGGTCCTCTTTCCTGTTCCAGGGCCACCAGGGGCCAGCGCGGCAGGGTGGCCTGACAGGCAGGGCACTCACTTGGGTTTCTCTAGGGGGTCAGGTTCATTGCGGGCCAGGCCAACAGGATTCTTCTCCGCCTCCTCAGCAGTGAGTAGATGCAACTCCGCCTCCACCTTGCCCTGCAGAGAGGGACAGATTGGGCCCAGAGCCCGGGCCAGGTGCCAGGCAATCGGCACTCCAGCCTGGCCCAGCCCTGCCCTCTGCCTGAGCAGAGCTGGTGCCCACCGTGAGCTCAAACTCGTCATTCTCATTTCGAGCCAGGAGGGGCCACCAGCCTTTGACGCGCTTCTGCTTGAAGATGGAAACCAGGGGCACATCCACCTCCCCCGTGGCCATCTCCATGGTGCACTGCTTGGCGGTCTTTGCACCCCGTGGGAACCGGTTCAGGTCCAGCTCGATGGCCCCTGTGGCAACCTCAGAGTCAGAGATCGGGTCAGACTGACCCCATGCCTCACTCACCTGGGGTGGGCTCACCTGTCCTTACCTCCCCCTGCCTTATCCCCTCCATTTTGGGTCCCAGTCCCCCCCGCCCAGCCTGGCCCTGCACCCAGGAAGTCGTCCGCGGAGAAATGGTCGGCATCCCAGATCTGCAGGGTGAGCCGTGCTGGGATCTTGTATTCGGTTTCGTCCCAGGAGAACATGGACTCCTTCTTGGAGATGACAATCTTTTCCTCGGCAGCCAGGTAGTCGAAGGGGAACAGGTAGCGCCAGTTGAAGTTGCCCTCGCCAGTGAGGGAGTGGTAGTGGACGTCTGTGTCCTGCTTGTCCTCCTGCTGGCCCTTCAGCCACCTGCGGGATGCCACCCGCTCCAGACCTGCAGCCACACCCAGAGGGGCCTCTCCCCACCCCACAGCTCCCCTTGTCCTCTCCCTCCTCTCCTGCCTCCCAGGAAGGTGGCTCCCCAGCTCAGCTCCCTCCCAGCCAGGGGGCCTCTCACTGACCCCCGCACAAAAATGTCACTGGACTTCTCCCCAGTGAAGAAGTCATCGTCCTCCAGGACCACTTCATCCGTGTTCCACACGATGACCCGCAGCTCGTACCTGGGCAGGGTAGAGGCTGATCACCTGCCTGGGGGTGGGGTTTCCCCAGGGTCTTGGGTCTAGGATGGGGCAGGGGGCTGGAGATGAGATGACCAGTAGTCTTGGGGACTCAGGGCTGGGCCAGGCTGGGATTGCGAGAGCAGATGTGGGGAGATGCTGAGGGGATGGGGAGAAGTTGGGGCCCCTGGTGAGCGAGAGAAGGTCAGCCAGCCAGCATGGCAAGCCCTGGGGGAAGCCTGTCTGGTGGACAGCCAGGACCCCCAGCACACTCCTGGACAGGGAGGCGGCCTCAGGGCAGGGAGGGGCAGGGGCCGGCTGCTGGGGGGTGGCTGAAGCGGGGCCCAGAGAGTCAGGAGCAAGTTCCCCTGTCTGCAGAGGCCAGAAGCTCCACGGCAGTTCCAAGTGAAGTTTACCCAGCAGCCGGCAGCGGACACCCAGGGAATTTGGTTTCCTTTATGTCCTTGACCCCAAAGAGGATTTTCTCCTCCAAGTGTAATTGTCATTATAAATGAAGTAGTTACATTTCAACCATTAGGAGTGAGGTTGAGTCATCCACTAAAAATGGGAGTGTGGGCCTCACTGGAGTTAACGCCCTGGACAAGTGACACCTGGGTTGGGGTGTCCCCAAGTGGCAGGCTCTGGAACAGCACATGCATGGCCTCAGACCGGGAGGCTATTCCAGGCAGAATTGGCTGCATGATTTGTGGGCCCAGGGCATAAAGGGAAAGCAGGGCTCCTTGTTAAAAAATCATTAAGAATTTCAAGGGGCTGGCCTGGGGGTGCAGCGGTTAAGTTCGCATGTTCCGTTTCAGCGGCCCGGAGTTTGCTGGTTCGGATCCCAGCTGCAGACCTACACATCACTTTTCAAGCCATGCTGTGGCAGGCATCCCACATATAGAATAGAGGAAGATGGGAACGGATGTTAGCTCAGGGCCAGTCTTTCTCAGCAAAAATAGGAGGATTGGTGGCAGATGTTAGCCCAAGGCTAATCTTCCTCAAAAAAAATATCATTAAGAATTTCAAGATTGCCATCATGAAATAAACATGGGACGCTGTGTGAATCCACGCGCCCATGAAGCTGGTCCTGATTCTAGGCACTGAGGGTGTCAGAGCTGGCAGTGACTCCATCCTGCCACTTTACAGATGGGAAAACTGAGGACTAGGGAGGCAAAGCGACCTGGCCGGGGTCGACTAGCAGGGGCAGGTGGCTTGGCTCCTGGTCCAGTGCTCTTTCCACTCTACCATGCTCCTGCCTCTTCTGGGCACTCACTCCTGCTCATCTCATCAGCAGGTTCTTGAAATAAAACGTGGTCGAGCTTCATGACAGCCTGGAGTGGGGACTGTCAGAGAGCGGAGCAGACTCTCAGGGGTTCTGTGTCTTGTGTGCAAGTGTACGTGTGGACGTGTGTGTGGGAACCCATGGTAGTGCCATGTGTGTGTGCATGGGCGTGTGGAGGAGAGCAGCGGTGAGGCTGAGAGTCCACTGGAGGATGCTGGCGTGTTCTCATTGCCCTCATCGACCGTACACAGATGGGGGTGTGGCCCCTGCCTCAGCAAAGGGGACCCATCCGGGGCAGGCCCCACAACTCTCTTGATGGTTTGGTCTGTTCCCCCCACAAGGCCACATGAGGTGCCCAGGGAATGCCAACTGACCATTCCTGGGGCCACAGGGGAGGTGGGAGGGGTGCGGGGAGGGAGGGAGTGGTCCTGGGCCTGAGCAGCTCACTTCTTGGGTTTCCGGGGAGAGATGTCCAGAGGCGTCCCGGGGGCTGGCATGTCCATGGGGAACATGTCCACCCACAGCTCCAGGCGACCCTGAGGAAGAGGGGGCATGGCAGACCTCCCCACAGACTTCTCCCGTCTGCCCAGGACGGCCACCTCTCCTCTCCCTCCCAACCTTTGCTGTCTCAGGACCCATTTCATCAGTTTCCATCCTTGAACGCCAGGAATTCCTATGACATCATCAATAGCCAATCACAGCTTCTGAGGGAGACACCCCAGGTCTCCACATTCTCACTCAAAGGAAAGACCCGTGCCACTGAGTTACCGTGAAGGGCCTTGGTGGGGAGGTGCCCCCAGGCTCTGGGGAATGCAGAGAATAGCATGAGGATCCGTTCTTACGGACTCAGGTTGGGACTCCCCGATTCCAAATACCAAAGGACCTCAGATCCGGACCAGGCGAGCAAGCGTCACCTGCTCGATGCCTGGCTTGTCAGGGTTGAGCAGCGGCCGTGTCTCCACATGTTCCGGCACCAGGCGGCAGCCCACGCGGGGGATGTCCTCCCAGTGCCTCAGGGCGGACAGCGCCACGTGCTCTTCTGTGGGCTTCCTCTGACCTGTGGGTTCCAGCGGGTCAGTCGCACACACGGGCTCAGCAGGACAAGAGACCTGTGCTGGGCTGGGGACTCAGGGGCACAAAGAGGGCCCTGAGCCATCGCCCATCTGCCCATCTCCGTTTTACTGTTGGGGAAACTGAGGCACACAGAGAGAAGTGGCTTGCCCAAGCTCTCAGCTGCCCCATAGGGCCCAGAGAGGTCTGTGTCCTTGGGATTTCTCTGCCTGGGGGACTTGACCAGAGAATCCTCCTGGGCTGTGAGCTCTGGGAGGGGAAGAATCCACTTCCTGCCCCAGCACCCTGAAGGTGGTCAGCACAGATACCTCCCGATTCTCTGGGAAGCGCCACATGAGTGAAGGAGTGGGGAGAGCATAGGGCTTAGAGCCAGAAGGACCTGGGCCCACGACCTCGCTCTGCTCTTAAGAGTCATGTGACCTTGGGGAAGACACTCCAACCCTTTAGGTCTCAGTTTCCTCATCTGCAGGATGGGGAGACTCTCCCTACCCCACAGGGATGCTGAGAGGGAGAAAGAAGGCAGCAAGTGGGTCAGTGCCCTGTAGCAGGAGGTGAAGGGCAGAGGCTCGGCAGACAGGAGTGGGACTCGGGGCTGATGAGCAGAGGGTCTAAGGAGACGCCAGGCTGGGCCTCGAGGTCCCACTGTGGGGACATGGGGGTCCCTCCTTGGCCTCTGACACCCCATGGCCGCATCCAGCGCCCCTTTACCATTCTCGTCCTCGATCTCGGAGGGCCCAGTGAAGACGCGGTTGGACACCTTCACTCTCCCGGGGGGCCCAAAGTGGGGGCCATCTACTTTGCCCTCCTTGCAGAGGCGGGTCAGGATCTGGCTGGGCTTCATGGGGTCCCGCCAGATATTGTAGCCATGTCTGTGGGAGGGGACAGACAGGCTTGGTGGGCTCAGGTGGGGCTGGGCCATCCCCGGGTGACAACTGGTTCTGACAGTTCTCTTAAGTTGCCTATCACCCTGGGTCAGCAAGAGGGCCCTGCCCTGGGCTCCAAGCTCAGCTGAGACACTAGGGCTGCTGGAGGCTGATGCCTCAGGTCCCAGGCTCTGGCCCCACGTACCCAGTGTCCCAAGGATGAGCATCCAGCCTCCCCAAAGCAGCGCGCTCTGCATTCCACTCTCCCTGCACTGTGCCCACTCCTCTAGAACCTCAAAGACTGCCTTGAGGAAACTGATAACCAGAGAGGTTAAGGGGCTTGCCCAGGGTCACACAGCCTATCTGTGGCACAGGGCCGTTAGATCCCCAGTGGACTCTTCCTCGTGCACAGTGCTGCCCCTCCTGCCAGCCCACTTTTCTCTCCTTGTCTGCCTCCTCTGTCCTGCGACCCCTCAGCTCTCTCCTCGTCTTGGAATCTGCAGTCCAGGCCCTTGAAGGCCCATGTGCGTGCCCCGCCCCACGCACGTGGAGTAGGTCTGGGCGATGCCACAGGTGGCGCGGTGCTTGCTGTAGAAGCGGTTCTCCAGGTCGATCTTGGTTTCCCCAATGAGGTCGTCGGTGCCGACCAGATCCCAGTCGTACACGGCGACCGTCAGCATGGATTCCATGGGGAAGGAGGCCTCGACGTCAAAGGACCTGGCGGGATGGGGGTTGGGAGAAGGGTTGAAGGTGGAGTGGGAGGTGGGCTGGGCAGGGGAAGACAGGGCAGGGGCGGGGGCGCCAGGAGGCCTTACTTCCCAAAGACAGGGTTGAGCTGCTTGGAGATGTAGTTCTCCTTGTCGCGGATGTCAGTCTTGCCTAGCCGGATGGCGATGTAGGGGTCGGCTTTGCCATTGATGTCTGCGGGGTGCAGGTCGGTGGCCTGACATGGGGGAGGGGTGCTCCTGAGCGGGTTCCCCACACCCTCCTCATCTTCCAGTGCCCTCACCCCCTCCCTGATGGTCCCACGATGGTGAAAGGCAGGAGCACTGGCCCAGAGGGAGGAGACTTACTGTGTGACCCTGGGCAAGTCACTGCCCCTCTCTGGGCCTGGGCTTCCTCCTCTATAAAAGGAGGGAACTAGAGCAGATGACCTCCCTGGTGCCTCCCAGCCAGGGGCTGTCAGTTTGCAGCTGCTTCAGCTGCTCCTGGGCGGGAGGACTGGGAGACTCGGGGGATGCAAGGGGGTCTCACCCGGACCACATAGATGCGGACCAGCACGTTGATGGGGTCATTGCTGGGGATGCCCTGGAACATGCCATAGCTGGGGTCGTAGCCGGCTTCCCGGGATACATCCTCTGGGAGTGGCACTTTGTACACGCAGAGGGAGCCCTGGGACGAGGCAAGTATGGATCAGGGTGCAGGTTCCCACAGGCACAGGCAGGGGTGGCATTCAAATCAGCCAACAGCACTGGGGTCTCTGCATCCTGCTGTGGCAGGGCCTTAACCCTGTAGTTGCTGGATCATGCGAGGCATCAGGGCTTCTGGAGGGAGTGGCCATGGCAGTGGCGGGGGTGGGAGAGGCAACTGGGGTGGGGGCTCAGGGCAGATGCTCTTTATGAGCCAGCATGGAAGTATTTCATCTTTCACCAACCAGCATGGCTGACAGCTCCCCTGAGTGTCAGCCCTGGGCTTGGGGGTGAGGAGGAGAGCCGGTGCGGTGGGAGCAGGGGTGCTCAGGGCTCAGGGCCTGGGGCTTAGGGGCTGGGCCTGCGCTCCTCTCCAGACCTTGAAGCGGCCCACGATGCGCTCCTCTTCGGTGGAGCCGTCCTCGTCATCCCCGGTCTTGCCCCGCAGCAGGTTGAAGGTGTGCAGCCAGTCCTCAAAGTTGTCGAACTCAGACTCCAGCTCCTTGGGGTACACCTGAGCCGGGTCGGGCCGTCAGGGGGACGAGGACTGTCCACCGGCCTCTGTCTTGGCCCACCTGCCACCTCCCAGCCCAGCTGTGAGCCCACACCCCCAGCGGGGTCCGCTCTCAGACCCTCACCTTAAGCTCATCGATCTTGGGTTTCTTCTTCTCAGGGGCCTCGGACGCCTGGCCGGGGCCCGGGCCCTGGATCCTCTTCTTCTTCTCCTCCTTCGCTGCCTTTGCCTTCTCCTTGCCCTTCATCGGCCCCCTCAGGCCTGGCCAGAACCATAAAAGGGGGCCTAGTCAGTTCGGGGCAGAAATGATGGAGCAGGAAGGCCTGGGTTGGAGACCCAGCTCCACCGCTAAATTTACTTTGCTAATTTAACTTTGCAAGACTCCGTGTATCACCCGTGAAAGGCAGACAATACTCCCTGACATGTCTGTCGGACACAGGGGCAGGGCACCAATAAGGTCATGCTGGGAATGTGTCCAAGACTGTTGTCACACCCTTTGACAGAGCAGGGCATGGAAGGAACATAGGTCTGGGGCCAGGTCACTTTCCTCTCTGGCCTCAGTCTACTTGTCTGTAATATTAAGAGGGTTTTTCTATATCAGCATTTCCCAAACTGCATTCAGTGGAACACCAGGTGTGGGAATTCTTGGAATACTTTGGAAGAAAGGGTACATCGTGGTCAAATAAGTTGGGGAAATATTTTATGCTGTATCTTTTAGAGACTTATAATAAGACCTGTATATTAAAGGTACTGAGAAGTCCCGCAACAAAGAACTTATTTAACTTATTTGACCCCAGAACCCTCTTTACCCTCCAGAATACCCATTAATAGTGTTCCACAGAAAAGGTCTGGAAAATGCTGGATGAGATGAGCTCTGAGATCCCTTCCAGCTCTGATGTTCTGTGGCTTTAAATGTCTGTCCGTCACTGTGGTTGCTGAACTGGTCAGAGTAAAAGCCACTCTAGATAAGGGCCTAGTCCTGCTCCCTGGTGCCCAGGGTGCCTGATGGTATCTGCTGTTGGCTCCTGCACCGTGAGGGCCCATGGGAGGGAGAAAGAAGCAGCTGGTGTGTCAGGCAGGGGCGCTGGGCCATCCAGGGGTGGGGAGAGGGGTGCAGAGATCCAGGGCTGCGGGGCTCACCGTCAGCGTTGTCCATGTCCTCCTTCTCCTCCAAGTCAATTCCCGAGGCCTCCTGCTGTCGAAGTTGCTGCCAAAAGATCAGGTGAGAGGAGGGAAGGTGGCCTTCCTGGTGAGGGGCTGTTGACCTGTGGTCTCAGACTAGCCTTAAATGCCGAGAAGCATAAACTCTTTCTTATACCGGGTTTCAAACCCAGCATGCGCTCTGCTTAAGTGGGCTGAAAAAAGTTTATGCCGTGTATAATATAACTAGCCGTACTTAGGAGTTTATGATTCTTTTGTGTATTATTTAAGACAGATAGTGTCCTTCAATGTTGCTTCTTGGTGGTATTTTGTTTTTAACGTAGAAAAGTATAACTGAGTAAGAAACTGTGCTTTATTTTCTATCACTCAGTACACCCCACCTACAGGAAACGCAATCACCAGGTTTGAACCAAGGTGCTGTCTGGTGGCAGCTGGTGCGAATTACAGGAGTAGAGACAAGGAGACGACAGGCATGGAGCTCCAGCCTGGTCAACCTGAATCCAGGGGCTGATGGTGGGAGAAGATACAACGAGGTGTCCCTCAATTATCTGCTCTCCTGATCTTTAGAAGTTTTGCTGGGCTCACAGCCACCTGGCTAAAGATTATATTTCTCAGCCTCCCTTGCAGCTAAATGTGGTTACAGGGACTAGATTCTGGCCAACGTGAACACAGTGATATGTGCAACTTCTGGGTTGGGCCCTTAAAAGGAAAGGAATACACCTCCTCTTCTTCTCTTTACGCCTTTCTGTGCACAGGTATTAGGACAAGACAGCGAGCTTCTAACCATACAGATACCAGTACCGAGATGGCAGGGTCTTAGTCCCTGTCACCATCAAGGCACCATACCAGCCTAACCCCCACCTCCTGAGCGATTATGGGAGAAAGAAATGTCTGTCTTGTTCACACCAATCTACCTTACAGCAGCAGCTGAGCCTGTGCCCTGATTAATATGGATGGCAAACATCACACGTGGCTTGGGTCACGGAAAGAGTCTGGGGAGAGTGTGGCTGGATCAGCTCAGGTCCTACCAGGGAAACACAATCACAGGCATACGTCCCTCCTGATCAGTAGGTCCGTCAGGGAACGTCCTGAGCTAGGTAGGCAACGCAGAGAAGAGACAAATGAGGAAGAGGAGAAATGCATTTTCTGGAACTTGCAATCTGACTCAGCAGACAGAACCCATGTGCAGGCAACAGGGGAAGAACATTTCACAGCGACAGTGACTGAGATGTGTAAAGTGAGACAGTATGAAGATGTGCAAGTACTAGTACTACTGAGAAATCGTTGTTCCCTTTTGGTCTCTGAGCACATGTTTCTCCTCTTCCTCAAAGGCCACCTCCTCTGTGAAGCCTTCCCTGACTCCCCAGGCACTGATGTGCCGTTCTTACCACACTGTACTGTATCTGCTTACATGTCCATTTTGCCCAGTAAACTGAGGGCTCCTCAGGCAGGTGTGGCGTCTTCTGGCTCCCATAGCACCTAGGATGGTGCCTGACTCATCATATACGCTCAAGAGATGTTTGTGGCATAAACGGATGAGGACAAGAGAAAACCAAGCCAGGTCAGGTAGGCTGGACCACCATCCTGGAAAAGGTGAGCTCCGAGCCAGAACCTCAAGGGTGCGAGACAAGGCTGTTCTAAGCTCATGTTAAGGGAGTGGGGGAGTCAGCTCTCGTCGGGAGCGGGAAAGAAGCTGGACAGGAGGATCTTATGTGGAGCTGGCGTCACCTCCCCGGCCCGATTCCTCCTCACCCCCAGCCTAGGCCCGAGGCCTCACCTCCTTCATGGTGTCAATGGAGGCAAAGTACTTGGACCACCAGTCCAGCATGCTGTCATCCGGCTCCTCCTCCGGCTCTGCCGAGCTGCCCTTCTTCTTCCTCTTCTCCTTCTCCTCCTCGGCCTGGAGGGTTGGCCAGGTCCAGAGTCCTACATACGTCCCTGCGCCCTGGCCATTCCCAGAGCCCTCGATAATCTGAGTGTCCCCCATCCATTCTGACTATGTGCTCCCGGGAAGCCCTGGGCTCCACGAGGCTCTGTGGGGCCACCAATGTCAAAGAGGCAGGACCTTGTTCTCTGGGAGGAGGATGCCGTGGCCCAGGGTGGGTCATGACCTGCCCACATGAGCCCCTGGCCAAGGCAGGATTGGCACTCAGGGCCCTTGCAGCTCAAGCAGCTCTCTCCCCCACCCTCTTTGGAGGGGTGTGCTGGCCAGAGCATCCAGGGGCTGGGGGTGGCTCAGTCCCTGACGCTGGGCCTCTTGGCCTGATATCCTATGCCAGTGTCGGGTCCTGTCTCCCAGAGCCCTCCAGATGGGCCCACACTCACCACATCCACCTTGACGACGGCATCAGAAGTCTGCGGAGGAGAACCAAGGAGGCAGGGGCAGAATTAGTCCCCAGGGCCTGATGCAGTGGTCCAGTCAGGAGAGAGGAGGAGGGGCTCATGCAGGGTCGTTCACTGTGTGTCCGGAGGCCCTGGGCTCACGGGGTTGACTGTGCACTCACGAGGGCACGCTGCCTGGTGAGCTGAAAAAGGTCTGCTCGGCAGAGGTTTCCCGGACCCTCTGGGTGGGGGCACCCAACCCTGAGAGGGTTGTCAACTCCCAGATAATTTCAAGGGCAGTCAAGGTCGGGGGAGGCGCTGATGCGGCAGGCAGGAGGAGTTCAGTAATTCTGCCTCGATGGAGGCAGCTCCAAACTCCATTTTTCCTCCTTTACCAGGGCAAGTGCCTTCAAAATTAAGTGGCCACACACACAACTGCATAGCTGAAGAGGACTCTGGTGAAACCCCCCACCAGAGCCTGGGGCCTCGGGGACCACGGGGAAGCTCAGGCCAGTGCTGTCCTCTGTCTTGTTCACTGATGGCCTGAAACTAGGGGGTTCCCTCCCTGCCCCCCCAGGAGGAACAGGCTCCGCAGGGAGGAGCTCAGGAGGCCGGCAGCTGAGGGGCACGTGGGATCTCCAGGCGCAGCCCCAGGGCCCTGGCAGTGCCATCCCAGGGCTGCAGGCCCGCCACCAGGCCTGGTCTGCTCCCCTTTCCTGAGAGCTGTGCCCACTGCTCACTCAGTTGGTGGGCCAGGACCCTCTGAGGTCAAGGATTATGGGCCAAGGCAGGGTTGTTTCAGACCAAGCGCAGACCTCAGAAGCCAGGAGATGCCCCAGGCTGTGTAAAGTAAGTGAGGTCGGGAATAGGATGCTGAGGATGTGGTGGAGAGGAAGCCCACTTCCGGCCCCTCAGCACTGTCTGGACTCAGGATGGCCTGTTCCAGGCTGGCTGCCATTCTGCCCTCCCCTGCAGATGCCATCTCCTCAGCTGACAGGTCTCGCTCGGGCAGATAAATGGCCCTAGTCTCAAAGCCAGGAGGAATACGAAGCTTCCACCTGCAAGTCCCTCCCCAGCCCAGGTCTGGGGAGAGCTGTGTGTGAGTGACTGGGATGGAAAACCAGGGACCCTCTGGAAAGAGCAATGGTGTTCGCACAAGGAATCCATTGCCTGAGGTGTCTTGTTGGAGCAAAAATAATTGCAGGCTGTTCCCTCAAATTATTACTGCTCTCTCTGTCTCTCACACATGCATACCACACTCGTGCACACGTGTGCACAAACATGTGCGAACTGACAGTCTTGCATACCAGGATACAGTTGTTTGCACACGCAGTCAGGGCTGACCCTCCACCATCACCCGCCAAAGGAGGCAGCCCGGTTCCCGGGAAGTGCCACGCGCAGGGGCACATTCCCAGTCAGAGTGGGGCTGACCCTTACCGCATCCAGCTTCACCATGGTCTCCAGCTTCCTGACGGGCACCTCTGGCTCCATGTTCACCACAACCTCCCCTGTGGGGTGAGAGGAGGGGACCCCATTGCACAGCACACGGCAGCCCTGGAGGAGCCTGACTGGACAGAGAAATGGACAGACAGGCAGACAGACAGAGAGGAGTAGGGGTGACAGTGAGAGTCAGGGGTGGCCGGAAAGACCAGAGCGGATTCTGAAGCTTTCTGAGGGGAGAGGGAGGGATGGGGCAGTTGAGGGAGGAAAGATGGGCATGAGGAGAGGGAGAAAGTGAGCCAGAGAGGGCAGCGAGCTGCTGCAGAGTGAAATAGTGGAGGCCGGGCCAGGTGGGAGGCTGGGAGAGAGGCCGGGCGGGGCCAGGTCTCCTCCAGGAACTGGCAGAGGAATCAATCTGCCCTCGGGACCTCTCAGGACGTCTCCAGCTCTGGTCCCTTGTGCCCTAGGGTGAGGGGTGGCCCTGGGCAGCTGTCTTTGGCCCCCAGAGTGGGACCTCCCTATCGGCCTCCCCTACACCCACTTGGGCGTGCCCCCGAGGAACAAACTGGCAACTCTGTGGACTAGACTGGGAGCTGGAGCCCCTGCGTGCAGGGCGTGGAGCTGGGCCTGGGCCCAGGGTGTGGCCGTACCCGTGGTGCTCCAGCTGGGGGCCGAGCGGTCCGGGGGCCGGTAGATGAAGCGCCTCAGGGAGCTGACGGCGTGGGAGCCCACCAGGGTGTAGCGGCCGAAGGCGCGGCAGTCTACCACGCGGATGTTCAAGGGCGGGTGCAGTAGCTCATTCTCTGGGAGGTCCTGGGGGTGTCAGCCAAGTAGAGCCTGAGCTCAGAGAGGGGGGCAGAGGCCCCTGCCGTGCCCAGCACCCCAGCCGCACCCAGCTCTGCCTGGCTCCACCAGAGCCTGCACCCACCACTTCAAACCACTTGACGAGGGTGTTGAAGTTGGGGTTCTTCTTGTAATTGTGGATCAGGGAGGACTGCACCCCCTTCCCCGCACACTCGATGTCCACCCGCGGCCGGTCCACCTGGGCCAGGTTCACCCGCTTCAGGTCCCGCAGGCCCCAGAACAGCACCTGGGTGAGGGGAGGGGGGTGGGGAAGAAGAGAGCCCCTCAGTCAAGGGAGCCAGCTGTGGGGGGCTGGGCCGCCTGAGAAGGAATTGGGTAGTGGGTGGGCAGTGGCTCAGGAGGGGCAGAGCTGGGAGAGCAGAGGAGGGGTGGGTGTCGCCAAGGGGCTGTGGGGGAAGGGTGGGAGTGGGGGCAGACATGAAGCCTGGCAAGAGTCCCAGAACATGGCAGTGTGACTCAGTGGAGACTGGACAGGAACTGGGCTGGGGTGGGAGCCTGGGTCTGCTGCTGCTCCAGGTGTGACCTTGGACAATCACTTCCCCTCCTGGGCCCTCAGTCTCCTTATCTGAAAAATGAGGAGTGGCCTGAGGTTGCTGAAGACCCCTGGGGTTTAGTGCCAACAGTGTAATATGTGCATCTGACCCTTAGTGGCAAGTGAAGGGGCCAGAAAGTGAGAGCACGGCGGGGCCCGACCACGGCAGGGAGAGGACGGGCCGAGCGGCGCCCCTACTCACCTCGATTCGGTACTTGCTGAGCACAGGCCGGATGCCCACAGGCACAGGCATGATAGGACCCCGGTCCACGTCCACCGGGCCATTGATGGGCGGCAGGTCGGCCTTCCCTGCCGGCCCAATCTGGGGACCGGAGGTCATAGTGTCACACCCTGGGGAGCCTGGGGAGGGCCCTCTCCTTCCCCAGGAGTTATCTGCTATGTGATCTGAGGAGTCAGGGGAAGCCCCGGCCCAGCCCCCTCTCTCCTGCCACCCCACCTGCAGCAGCTCGAAGGCAGCCAGCAGGTCTCCGGCCGTGGCGTTGCCGCGGTAGATCTGGTAGTACTCGAGCTGGGGCGGGAAGCGGGGTGGGCAGTACGCCTCATCGGCCATCTTCACTAGGGGCTTGGCGAAGGTTCGGCCCATGAAGTCGGCTTTGCCCTGACGCGACAGACAACCGCGGTGGCCTCTGGGTGCTTGAGTTGACCCAGCACGGTCACACCTTTGATCTCATTTAGTCTTCACCGCAGCCCGGAGAGTTGTAAGGGGGCAGGTGCGATCACCCCATTTTACAGATGGGGGAAACCAAGTCTCGGGGCCCAGCACAGACTTGCTCAAGGCCACGCTGGCAATGAATGGCAGATGCAGGACTCAGGACTAGAAATAAGGTCCTCCCACCTCCAGTCCAGAGCTGTCTCAGGGTACCCCAGTAGCTGAGGTGGCTTGTAGTAAGTGGCTCCCCAGCTCTGGAGGGGTCACCCCAATCCTTCACTCCCCCACTCGAGAGTTCCCATGCAGAACTGTGAGGCTGTTACTGACTGTGGGCAGCAGGTCGCGGGGCCCCGGGGATGAGGGAAGGCTGAGGACAGCAGGACTTGCGGGCGCATCTCCTGAAGACTCTGGGCCTGAGCTCAGTCTCTCTGTGCCAGGAGGTGGGGACGGCCTGGCCTATCTCCTCCCTGAGACCTCAGAGGCCCACAGCGTTGGGAAGGGGTCAGGCTGCAGTGACAGGACAGGAGACACCTGGGGCTCCTAGGGGGCTGGTCAGCAGCCCCGACTCCCAGCTTCTGCATTAGCACCCTGGCCATGGAGCTCTGGGGTGGGCTGGGGAGGTGGCCGTCAATGCAGGTGGGGTGTAGAGAAGAAGGGGTAGATATGGTGCTGTTAGGGGTTCCTGGTGCCAGAGGCCACCCATACCATGGTGTCCTGGTCATAGATTTCGATGACAATAATGGGAGGATCATCCCGCAACTCATGAGCTTCACCATACAGTTCCAGGTTGTCGAAGACCAGCATCTGGTCCCAGGTGGGGCACAGGGTCTCATTCAGCACCTGCAGCATGGGACAGGGGGACATAGGTAATAAGTGGTGGTGGGCAGGCAGATGCAGGAGCAGGAGTCACCCCTAGTCACTGTGGCTTCCAGGGAACTCGGGGGGGGGCAGGTGTGTCATGTTCCCTGACTCTTCCGGGAATCTTAAAATGAAAGCCAATGTGAGGTCTGCTCACCTCACCCTGCTGTCTTCCCTGTCTCCTGTGTTGAATACAGGCACAATTAAAGCCTCTACCTGTGTGGCCTGGGTGTGCACTTATCTGCAAGGCTTCCCTCTAAGGATCTGGGGCACTGGCTGGTCTGTTTCTCTAGGTCCCACAAGCTCTCAAAGCCAGCACCACTCGCTCCTGCCCCGGGCCTCACCTCTGTGCACTGACTTTGGTTGATGAAGAAGACACGGGCAAAGGGGTCTGAGAGGCCGCTGCTGTCAGCGGCAAAGAGGCTGCGAGCCTGGTACATGTGCGCACGGAGCTGGAACGCCTGCTTCTCTGTGGGGAAGAGCAGGCTGAGGCTCCGGAAACAGGTGGTCCCTCCAGTGCCCTCCCGGGGTGAGGACTGGGAGCCAGGGGCCGCCCAGGCCATGAGTCCCCACTCACTGGTGTAGATCAGGCTGATGGGGGGGAAGGAGTGTAGGCCCAGGCCCTGGGCCGCCTTGACCTCCTCAAAGCCGCAGGGCAGGCCACACAGGAAGTCCTTGCGCTGCTTGCTGAGGCCCAGCCACAGGTAGAGCTCCAGCTTGGCCTGTACCGTCCAGCCGGCTGAGCCGAAACTCCGCTTTCCAGGCAGCTGCGGGTGGGCGTGGGGTCAGCTGCCAGAGCCCACGGGGTGAGGAGGGGCCAGGGGCTGGCGGAGATCTTGGTCAGAGCTGGCCATGCCCCTCCACAGCCATCCCACTGGGCTAGGGGGAGGGGATGGGAAACCCAGAGCTGAGGGGGATTGGCACGATGGACCCCCCTTCCTGTTCTCTCTCCAGCTCTTCTCTGAGCACCTGCTGCTGGAGGGCTCCACCCATCAGCTGAGGCCTGCCCAACCCTGGGGTAGGGGTGCTGCTCCCTCCAAGTGGGGGCTGACCCCTTGAAAGAAGCCAGATGCAAACACAGGACCCCAGCGCCCCCTACCCCAAGTCTTGGTCCCCTTCCAGCACCTTGAGGAAGAGTGTCTTGACCTTGGCACAGTCCTTGCCCAGCTCCTCCTCGACGATGGAGAAGAGCAGGTCCTTGGATGGCACCCGGGCATAGGCGATGCGCTTGTTGTTGCTCATCATCCAGATGAAGACGTCGGGGATGCTGTGCTGCGGCTGGTGGGGGTGGGAGGGGGTCCGGTAAGGGAGGGGTGTTGCCTCTTGGCTGAGGCTCCCGGAGCCTATCTGACCCTCAGGGTCCCTGCCTCAGGACCCAGAGGGCCAGTCCTGGGCCTGCAGAGGGAAGGCCCCCAGATTCTGGGTCTTCCTTTGCCTCCCACTGATGGAGCGGTAAGAACACAGGACAGGATGAAGGGCCGTTCACCCGTGTCCTTCAACTGCTGGCAGAGCAGGAGGGGCCTCCTAGGTGGTCCGGTCAAACCCCTTTCTGTGTAGCCCCATGTCCCAACTCCGGTCACTCGAGCTTGGGGCCGGGCACCCTCTGCGTGCACGCCAGCAGGGGCCCCACCTCGTCTGCGAGGAAGCGCAGCTTCTGCAGGAAGTTCTGGCACAGCCTCAGCTTGTCCCGCACGGTGTGCCGCTTCACCTGTGCCCGCAGGGTCTTCGCCTGCTGGCCCATGCTCTCCTGTGGGGGGCGCGTGTAAGTGGGGCTCAGGCTGTGACACATGATGAAGGGGGCTGGCCCTGGGGGGCTGTGACCTCAGAGACCGATGTCCTCCCACCTCAGCTTCCCCTTTTCACCTCTAGACCTCCCTCGATCCCCCGTGTGGTCCAGCGTTGAGGACCAGCAAGTCCTCACCAGCTCCCGCATGCAGGACTTGAGGCGCTCCCGGTCGAGCCTGGTGCGGGACGAGTGGCCCTGGTCCTTGTCAGCGAGGGAGAGGAAGCGGCTGGGGAATGGGGAGCAGGGCTTAGCAGAGTCCACCGCCAGCAGGAGGCCTACAGACACCTCCTCCTCTGCCCAGTCCCCCACCCCGCTGTCCTGTGCTCTCACTGGCAGCCGCAGCTGAGCTCCTCCAGCACGCCCCGCAGCCGACGCTCTGGGTAGGACTTCTCCGTTTTGATCATCTCCTGCACATCGTTCATGCCTTCTTCCTGTGAACCAGGAGGGAGGGGTGAATGCTGAGCCACGGTGCCCCCAGTCAGCTCCCCCAAATGTCTCCCCTCATTCATCAGGGGCAGTGAGCCGCTAGTGACCTGGGACCTCTCACTAGCGCCACCCTCCAGTGTCCCACCATCATAAGGAAACAACCCATTTCCCAGGTTCTGTTTTCGGAGTCCGGAGGCCTTCATGTTCGTGGGTCTTCCGTTCCTGAAGGAAGATGCCACCTCCGGGCTCTGAGTCTGTGGTCCTGGTGGAGCCACAGGGGCTGGGTGGGCAGAACTCAGGGCTAGATGGGGTGGGAATGCAGGACAGAGGGGCTACTAGCCAGGGTTCCCAGATTCCACTCTGGGTAGCCCTTGTGCCCTCTGCCTGCTCCTCTGACCTGGGGTGAGTACAGGAACAGAGATCCCGTGGGGGCCATTCCTGCAGCACCCCCGCCCTCCAATCTCCATTGGAGGCCAGCTGCTGGGCAGATGGGCCTTGTGTGCTGCAAGGGAGGCTTCCAAGCTGGGCGAGGCCCTCAGATGGCACCCCTTCCCCATCCCCTCCCACCCCGGCCCCGCCCTGACCAGCTTGTCTGCGATGTGGTCCATGATGTTGGCATTGTAGAGGCGGCGCCGCTGGTCCGGCCACCAGCTCTTGATGTAGATGCAGGGCTTGCGCTCCAGGTAGGGCAGGTGGAAGTAGTTCCTGGGGTGGGAGGAGGAGGGAGGTTGAGGATTGGGGCCCAGGGAGGTGGGAGGGCCGGACCCAGAGAGAATGGGAGGCAGCAGGCAGGCCCTCCCAGGACCCTCTCTGCCACCCGGCTTACCTGTCAGTGATCTGGGGCCGCATGGGTGGAGTGGAGGAGACTGAGGCCAGGTCCCCACCCTCGTCGGTCTCGTCGTCACTCGAATTCTGGATCAGATCTACTTCTTCCTCGTCCCCAGGCTCTTTCCGAGGTCGAGGCCGCTGGGGTCGGGACAGGCCATCAACTTCGTTCCCATAGTTGCCTGGAGGTGGAAGGGGGCATGCAAGGGCACGGAGTCCTTCCCCGACGGGGTCCCACCCTGCTCTCCAATCCAGATGTTGCCTCGGGTTTGTGGAGGGAAGAAGGAAAGTCAGGGAATGGGGAAGGTGGTGGGGGTCTGTGCCCGCTCGGACACAACAGAACACCACCCAGAGGAAGGCGCCTGCGTCTTCCACCTCTGCAAAGATCTCGCTAGGAGCCCAGATGACCACTGAGCTCAAGGTCCAGCTCAGGACGTGGCCCGTATTCCCACTCTCTCCTCCCTCCCTCTACAGGGAGGGCTCCTTTCCTCCCAGGTCCCAAACATAGCCTAGCCCTGCAGGTGGAACTAGGCCCTTGTGGGACCCATGTGGGTGCTTGAGGACACGCGGAGGAAAGCCATCAAAGTGTCCCTCCCCTGCGGGTTCTGGAGCAGGGCCCGGTGGTTACCACCCAGCACCCCCGGGCCTGCAGACCAGTCTGGGAGCCCAGCACTCACCTATGGTGACCTCAAAGGTGACTGGCTTGTCTCCGTTTTTTCTGTCGATCATTGAGGCCTCCAAGAAGGCTCCAAATAGAAAGAATTCTTCCATTTTCCCCGTGCAGCTCTGTGGGGAAGGTGGTTCAAATGGTCGCTAAACCTTAGTGGGGCTGTTGGGCCTGGGCCTGGGCCAGGCCTCCTCCTAGCATCTCACGGCCAGGCCCTTTGGGCTGATGGTGGGGGATATCCCACCCAGCTGTGAGGCTGGGCAGCCCAGACCCTGAAGGCCCAATCCTTTCGCCCTCCAGCCTGGATGTCCCTGAAGGAAGGGCTGGCTCTGTGCACCACAGGGACAGCCATGGCCAGGAACGGGTAGAAATGAGGCTCCATCTTGGGACCTCCAGGCAGACTGCAGGCAGAGTTTCCTCTGAGGGGTTAAGTGGGGGCCCCGGTTCCTGGAGAGGGAGACCTCATCTTGGGGTCTGGCCCCTGGGTAGGCAGGGCAGCAACAGGCAGAGCCCAGGCCCAGGTTGTCGTGGCAGGAAGGGGGCTGAGCTAGGGGCTCTGGAGGACAGCACAGCCCCCCGGGCCTCACCTCCGAGACGGGGGTGGTCTGCTCCACCTGCACCTCCGTGGAGCTGGTGAGCTCAGGGTTGGAGGTGTCCAGGATCTCCACAGCCAGGCCCACCATGAGGCGGGCGCGGAAGGACACTCCCTCCCCCAGGCCCTCATTCAGGTCCTGGTGCTCGTCCAGCAGCGTGTAGTTGCGTGTGGAGCCGTACATGTTCACCCAGGCTGGGCCCAGCGTGGGCAGGAAGCCTGTGGGCCGTGGCAGAGGGAGGAGGGGCCTGAATCACACCCAGGGATCCCTTGGCGGGGAAGGGAGCTCTTCTGGGGGCTCCTGGCCTTGCTGGTGAAACGTTTGAGGCAGAAGAAAGCCTGCAGGGCAGCCCATGGCTCATGAGGGGCTGTGTGCGGGCAGGTGTGGGGCAGCCTTCTCACCAGCAGGGGGCACTTTCTTGGGTCTGCTTCTTTTCTGTGGGGGCCTGAGCTGGTTGTGGCTGGGGGAGGCAAAGGCACGCTCCCTGCTTCCTGGCATCTGGTGCAGGGGCTGCCCACAGTCTCTTTGAAGGACAGATGCCAGCTCCTCCCAAACTCAGCATGGCCTTTTGCCATATATGCCATATATGCATTGCACCGGGCGTCCCACCCTGTTTATGCAGACCCCTCCCCTCCTCCCCGAGGCCCTCCCTCTCTGCCTCTGCCTGTTAAAGCCTCCTCCTCCACAAAGTGTCCCAATTCCTGGTCCCAACTCACTCCTCCCACTGGGATTTGTTGTGTTTCATGTGTAGCACGGATCCAGTTCTGCCTTATGTGCTTTGTTTGTTTTGTTCTGCCTGATTTTTTAAAAGAACTTACAACATTTTAAAAATTGAGATCTCCTTCATGTAACAAATTCATTTTAAAGTGTGCATTTCAGCAGTCTTTAGTATATTCACTATGCTGTGCAACCATCATCTAATTCCAGGACATTTCCATTCCCCCAAAAGGAACCCCCGTGCTAATTAGCAGCTAGTCCCAATTCCCTCTCTCCCTACCTCCTGGCAACCGCTAATCTACTTTCGGTCTCTACAGCTTTGCCTATTCTGGATATTCCACACAAATGGAATTGTACAATATGCGGGTTTTGTGCCTTAGGTTTTGAGCACAGCCATCTTCCTGATCCCTGGTGAGCACTGTGAAGACAGGAATGGATCCTTTTCTCTTGCTCCACTCAGTGCCCGGGTCCTAGGAGGGGTCAGGCCCCACAACAAGTCTATGGATAGGTACCACGGCAGCAGTGCACATACATGTGTAATATACATGTATAGGTACACATGTATATGTCCACACATATATAATTATTATTATGTCCTTTTACAGATGGGAAAACAGGTACAAAGTTCACACAGCTACTAATTGTCAGAGCTGCAGTTCAAATCCAGGCAGCCTGCTCAGGAAGGCCCGTCAGCTCTGTGCAGACCTGAGCCATGAGTGCCCACCTTTCCCTTGGTGGGGGGGGGGGGGAGCGGGGGATGCTGACAAAGCCCGCACAACACCTGGAGCCCTTCAGGCCAAGGTGTGGGATGGTGGTGGTGGTACGTGTGTGGAGTGTCTCATCACTTACTCCTTCCCTTCAGGCCCCTCCTAGCCCCTGCCCCCCCCCCCCCACCATCCCCCAGTCTCCTGCTGCTAACCTTTGTCTCCATCGTTGGAAATCTTACGCAGGTCAATGAAGTGGGTACCAATGGCCACATCATTGACCTTGTCCGAGTCCCGGATCTGCACCTTCATGCGCTTGCAGAGTGGGGGGAACAGGTCTGTAAAGACGACCTGCTCATTCCACAGTGGCTCATAGCTGCTTTTCTGCACTGAAGTCTTGCCCTGGTGGGAGGGAGTGAGGGTTAGGGCTTGTGTGTGTGCATGTGTGTGTAGTGTATACATGTGCATGTGTGTGTGGCGTGTGTATGCGTGTGATGCATGTGCATGTGTGTATATATGTATATCTGCATGCATGTATGTGTACATGTGCATGCACGTGATGCATGTGTATGTGTATACGTGTGTGGTATGTGTATCTGCATGTGTGCATGCATGTATGTATGTGTGTACATGTGTGTGTACCTATCACCTCACCCTTCCCCACCCTAGGCTCTCAGACCCGCCTCCCTCTCAGTGCTCCCTGTCAGCTCTGGGTCTCCAGGACCTGGAGGCAGGCAGGATTCCCTGAGGCCCGTGCAGGGCTGAGATGATTCCGGCCTGGCCTTACTTCCCAGACCTTCTCAGGTGGCACTCCCCTCATCTCTCACTCGCCTCACTTCTAGAGGTGAATGAGCCAAGATGACCCAAGGCTTGTCTCGTGATTTTCGACTTTCCCTTTTGTCTGCCCCCAGGCCCCCCACCCATCACCCTGCACCTCTGATGCCTGTCACCCCAAGCCTAGCCTCTGAACCCTGTACCCCAGTACCTTCTGGCCAGCAAAGAAGACTTGCACGTAGGGGTCGACTAGGTCCTTGTTCTCACCAATGAAAGCCTTCTTCACGTTGGCCATAAGGCTTGTGTTCATACGGGGCAGCCCCTCTGCTCGGTAAATTTTCACGTAGAACCGGGCCCACTGGCGTTCAGGGGGCACCCCCTCAGGGAGCAGCAAGTTCCTGCCAGCACATACAGCTAGCACTGTGGTGGCCAGGCCTGGGCACCCTAACTCCTGCCCTCCCATATATATACTCCTGGGGCCTGGGATGGTATGGTAAGGATGGCTGAGAAGGTCCCCCCAGGACTAAAGACACCTGAGTTGACAGCACCTGCTCTCTTGTGGGATCCTACGCAAATCTCCCCATCTCTCTGAGCCTCAGTTTCCTCACCTTTAAGACAGGAATAATAATACCCAACAATCCCAGGAATGTCATAAGGCTCAAATAGGTTAAAATACATGAGTGCTTTGTAAATTGTAGGGTGAAAGATATCAATTGTAGGGTGAGAGAGTATTACTATCCGCTTTTCTCAGCTTTGTGCCACACTCTTTGTCCTCTAGATAAAAACCTCACAGGAAGCCACCACTCTCCCTCCCTGGCCCATGAGAGACATGATTCATTGGATTCCAGTATTTTTTCCCACTGGGACAAGGTCCCAGAATATTTGTCAAAAGCCACTGTCAGCTGCCTGGAATTGGCACAGAAAAGGACATCTCTCTGCTCTCCTGGGAAGACTCAGGACCCAGCAGCTCCTGGACTCCGCTTTTCCTACCAAGTTTCTCAAAGTCAGACGTCTGCATGTCAAAGGACTGTCATTCTTGGCCCTCCTCCAGGAGCCTCTGCTCTGCCTTGCCTCAGTCCTTTCCCTCCCGTGACAAGGAGAGTCTGCAGACACTGAGGCTGGCCCTGGCTCAGTCCTTCTGGGAAGAGCTGGGCTGACTGGGAGTGGTGAGGACAGGGGTAAGGGAGATGGAGGGTAAGATCTCTGGGCCAAGGCCACCCCAGGGGCCCCCTCTGGGGGAAGGAAGGGCTGGGTCAGTTCTCCAGGGGCTGTGGGGGGAGGGGAGCCTCACCCCTCAATGTCGTCCTCGTCTGTCTCGTTGGCCTTGTGGGGCGTCTTGATGTTGTCCCCCTTGCCTACCACAGCGACATCACACTTCACATAGCCCTTCAGCCCAGCGGAGATGTCATCCGGGTCTGACAGGATGGCCCACTTGTGGTGGAACTGGTGCTCTGCAGTGGAGGAGGGGGAGTGCACCTGTCGCCCCCACCCAGGTGGCACCCTGCCCTCAGAGCTGAGTGCCTTCTTGGCCCCTGTTAGCTCAGGCCATCAGGTCTCCGGGCCTGGGGCCACAGCTCTGCCTGCCTCTGGGCCAGGGGGAGACAGAGGTCCCCAAGCAGGGGCAGCTGGGGCAAGGCGCTGCCCATGGTCATGCATGCGGGTGTGTGGTGTGACTCCAGTGAGGAGCCTCCTATTTGGGCCTCCTGCCCCACCCCTGCAGGCAACCTGCACACGGCTGCCAGACAGAGCCCTCAGAGGCTCCCCCTCTCACTCTCCCTTTCAAACCCATCTGGGGCTTCCCCGTGATTGGGGTAGAGACCACAGACCTCAGCGTGGTCTGTGGGGCCTCCTGATTCAGCTCTCCCCAGCTCACCCTGTGTATCCCACCCCACCCCTGTGCTCCTGCCAGGCAAAGCTGCTCACCCTTCTCCGAACAATTCACATCGCTGTTTTGTACTCCCACGCCTTTGTGGCTGCTATTCTTGAGCTTAGAACGCCCTCATCCCTACTCTCCCCCGTCCCCACCCTCCCCCTCCCTGTTCAAACTTCTCATTTTGTTCAAGTGTCTCCTCTTCCATGCAGGCTTCCCCGACTTCTTTAGAAGAGCTCATCCTGGCCCCTTAGCTGTTCTGCTTGTTCCATATGCACACCTCCTATCTCATCGTCGCTGTGATTATCTATTTATTGTCTGTCTCTAATTTCAGGCTGAAAGCCTCCTAAAGAGAGACTGGCAGTGTCATCCCAGTATCCTCAGGACCTCGGAAAGTGTGGAGGAAAGGACAGATGTCAGGGGGGAGCCCGCTCTAGGACAGGTCTGCCCCTGTAGGTTTCCTTTAAAGCTAGTTTGCAAGCAGAGAGAACCCGCGCCTTGCTGCATGAAGGGCACATCTTCTGCCTCAGGTTTTGCATGGGCCCTGAAATCTCCAGGGGCTCAGCACTTTCTTCCTTCTTTCCCTCCTCTTTCACCTTCTACCGTAGCTCAGACCTGTGCCCAACAAGGCTCTGTCCCCACTGCATTCCATGAAGTGTTCTGTGTGCAGAAATCAGCCTGTCTGGGGACAGGGCAGTCCAACCGTGTCTCAGGAGAGCTAATGCCACAGTAGAGTCTGAAGAGAGAGACCAGCATGGTGAGAGGGGAGGAAGCCTTGTGGTGAGGAGTTGCTGAAGGCCATCAGCTGAAGTGGCACACCTCAGGGGAAGGCGGCCGTGTCCTAGGCTGCCCCAGAGCTTCACGGTCTCGCCAGAGCAGATGTTTGTGGTACAGATACACGAACAGATTGATGGGTGGCTGAGTGGGGAGATGGATAGAGGATGGGTGGTAGGCTGCCTGGCTGGCTGAAAAGGTAGATGAATGAATAGATGGCGGATGGATAAATGGCTAGAAGGATGGATTAATATATGGATGGATGGTGAATGGATGGATGGTGGGTGGATGAATGGATATATAGGTAGATGGACAGATGCGTGCATGGGTAGATGAATTGGTAAAATTTAGCAAGGAAAGAGAGGGACATGAAATTTGCCTTCAAATTTAAAGGCTACTTGAAGAGGGAGTGGATTGATTCTTGCTGTCCCTGAAAGACAGACCTGTGAACGCGGGTGAAGGTTAGAGGGTGACAGATTCTGGTTTGAAGTAAACAAACGGAGATATCTACAATAAGAGGGGGTGAGTGCCCCATTCCCGGGAGGTCTGAGCAAAGGCTGGATAATCAATCAGGGATGCTGCCTGGGAGTCTCGACGTTGGGTGAACACTGGCTGATGACCTCTAAGGCCCGTCCAGTCCTAACACCGTGTGATCTCAGGCCAGAGGTGCAGGACAACACGAGGCCCTGAGCTCCCTGCTTACCAGCCTGAAACATCATTTCACCCGCCAGGCCTGGCTCTGACACCTGCCAGGGGAGGCTGCTTGGGCTGGGGAGGGTGCTAGCATCCCAGTCCTCTTCTAGGATCTACAAGAGGATGGACCGGCTCCTTTACGACCCTTCCTAGTCTCCAGCAGAGCAGCAATGAGTGAGCAGTTAGTTTCCTGCTGCTGCATCTGGTGGTGCAAATGTGGTCCTGCCAGGATAGAGCAGGCTCTGGTCCCCGGGAAACCCTTTCAGTTCCAGGAGACATTGATACCACCCAAGGCTCCCAGCAGCATCCAGGAGTCCTGCGTCCCTGGCAGCACGCTGTCCAACAACACTCTGGCTGGGCCAGGAACCAGGGACTCATCAAGAAGGTCAGGCCAAACTGGAGATCATTGGAGTGAAGACACCAGTGCCCCAACTGAAGGGGCCGTGTGACTTCAGCCTCCCACGTAGGGTACCAGGCTCAGGGACAGGTTCAGCAGGAGCAGCAAATCTCGGGGTGGGTGACCCCAGCGGAGAGCCTGGGCTTTGGGCCCAGAGGCCTGAGCTCACATCCCATTTCTGCCACTGACTCACAATGCGGCCCTTGGCCAGCTCTTTAAACTTGATCAACCTCAGTTTCCTTATCGTGAAAGGGGAGCATTGACACCTACATGGGGTTGTGAGGGTTAGGTCTGCTGGGACAGTGTGCCCAGTCCAGTACCTGGCACTCAGTAAGTGCTCCCAGAATGGCAGTGGTTTCCTCACCAGGACTCCACTCGGAAGCCCAGAGGTCCACAGCAGGCTCCTCACTGTCTCTCCAACCCCCTGACTTTCTCTTGGCTCCAGGCCTCAGGCCTCAGGCCTGCCGACTGTACCAGGGGGCACTGCTCAGCCCTGGGGTGGAGGACCTCCTCAGGCATGCCAGTGTCATTCCAACCAATGCCCACAGCAGTGCGTGCTCCCTGGGACACGAGAGCGGCAGACTGATCCTCTTCCCTGCTCCCTACAGTGCCGATGGTCACAGGGCTGCCCTCTACTGAGGACCACAGCCCGTCTGCAGCATGGAAAGGCACAGGCCTGGGAGCGGGGAGACCCAGGTTCTACTCCCAGACTTTGGGCAAGTCCCTCCATCACCCTGGGCCCCAGTTTCTCCATCTCCACAGGGAGATTGGACCAGATCTTTTTTAAGGTCTCTTGCAGCTTGAATGTTCTATGATTTTGCGATTTTTTATGTGCATAATCTTGGGTTTTGAACTCCGATTACCTGCTCTGAGTCACAGTTGTAATGTGCACTGGCTGAGTGTCTATTAGGTTGAACCATAAGAAATCACCAATTTGTTCAACTTAATAGTTTAGGGGCACCTCCAAGGCACTGAGCTTCTCTGCCCTCGGTTATTTCGTCTGTAAAATGTGAAGGAGAGTTGAGGCCCACCTCACTGTCGTGTGAGGGTCAAATGTGATAGTCTGGGTGAAATTGTATTGTCACCATCAAAGGGTCTAATGGGGTCATCACTGCACCCCAAGTGGTGGGTTCACTTCAGGGACACAGGGTGGGCCTGATGCCAGGTTGGATGCCAGTGGTTCCCGAGCTGGCCATGTGGTCACTCGTCATCTGTCAGGGTGAGGGCACCTCCTCTGCCTGGACCAACCCTCACAAGCCCTCTGGGCCACCGCTTGGGCTTCCCTCACCTACCCCACATAGCGTTGGCCCACAGGTACCCACAGAGCTGCTGGTCAGACTCAGCCCCACAGGGCTGTTCTCAGGCGGCCTGGGTCCCTCGACAAATGGCCAGTGAGAGTGTTTTTAGACCCAGCGTCTCTCAGAGGCTGTCACTCTGCATTTGGCATTAAGGACAGTGTGGCTCCGTAGGGACTCTGGAGTCACATAGTCTGACTTCACCCCAGACCAACTGGGTTGCTGGGGAAGCTCTGGAGTTTCTCCGAGCCTCAGGCCCCTCAAATGTAAAAGGGGGTGATGCTGTGTATCCCACAGGGCTCCTGTGACTCCAGCAGACCGAGCGCAGGTGGTCACTGCATCTGTGCGCAGATTGGGCACCCCATCGCTCCACACACCTGACAGCCATGTGCACTCATGGCCCCACGTGAGTTCATGGTCCTGGCCAGGCTGGGCCCAGGGACCACCAGGGCGGGAAGCATGGTGTGCTCCAAGTCCCCTGAGCCATGTGCCCCCATGCTGGCCAGGCCACGCAGCTACTCACCAGGCTGGGCGTACACGGTCCCCACGTCCATTTTGAAGGAGCCCACCAGGGTGCCGCTACGCAGCAGGTTCTTGGAGTGAATCACCTTCCAGGCAGAACCACCAGCACCAGTCAGGCTGGGCAGGGCTCAGGCTTCCCTCGGGGCTGACTGATGGCGGTGTCACCTCAGTCCTCCTGGGGACCCGAGCTTCTCGGTGAAGTGGGAGGGCGTTTGGTGGGGCAGGTGTGGCTGACTGAGGCTCAGCATCGGCCCCTCCTGCCTTCGCCTGTTTTTGCTGGCTGCCAGGTACCGGTGAGGATGTTGTACACTATACAGAGGCACCCAGCTAAAGGGGCGAGAGGGGCCCAAATCCGGCTGGTCCAGGCGCGGGGCTGCCTTTTTATGGTTGGTCCGCCCAGAGGGGTCGCCCTTTTCAAGTGTGCACAAAGGTGCAGTTTGAGCTAGTGGCCCTGCCTGCTAGGAGCTGCTCCCCACTCACCGAGATCTTGATGATCTTGTCGAACATGACATCAGGAGAGACGTGGAAGTCAAAGACGAAGTACTGGAGGGAGGAAGGACCCAGAGCTGCTGTCACTCAGCGGGTAGCGGCTAACAGCCTGGGGCAGTGCGGGCCCCTCCCCCCTGGCAATGCCTGTTGGCACCCCGGCCATTTCCCCTGAGCCCTGAAGTTTGGATGAGCAGCAGTGGCAACCATTGGTCCTCCCTAACCCTGGGGCAGGTGGAGCTGTGTGGCTTTGAGCAACACATCATCTGAATCTCAGTTTCCTGAGCTGTAAGATGAGGGTAAATGACATCCACCTCAGAGTCCTGTTATGAGACTCGAGGAGACACTGCAAGATACTGTAAGACACACCGTGGTTGTACAGGCAACATAGACATTGCCATTAAACCACAACGCTCCACTGCCAGAAGACAAGTCCCAATTTCAGAGATGCTAAAATGTAAACTAAGGTGTGAAGGCACTTCATCTGCAGTAAATGTAAAATGCTGTGGGTGTGAACTGCCCTCCTGAGCTGGCAGCTGCCACTCACACCCGCAGCTCCCTCCCATCTCTCCCGGCCTTGGTGTGCAGGTGCCGGGAATGAGGGTTGGGGGCAGTGAGCATAGGGACCACTGCTTTGGTGGGCTTGTGAGCAGGGAGAAGGAAGAAATGTTGCCAATGTGCTTAGGGTAAATGTCGGAGGAGAATCTGTTCCTGGCTGCTGGCTGCTCACACTAGAGCATTGTGGGTTAAAAGTGCTGGTTTTAGAGCCAGACAGACTGAGCTTTTACTGTTGGGCCAATCACTTCCTCTCCAGAGCCTCAGTTTACCCCTCTATGATGTGGGGATAATGATCCAGGGCCGCCATGTTGAAGTGCTCCAGGGGCACCATTCACAGGGGGGCTGGGAGGTGTGGTTGTGGTGAAGTATAAATAAGATGACCTCTGTCAAGCGTTCAACCAGGTGTGCACATGGTCAGGGCACAATAAATGCCAAGTGCTATGTGTAGCAGCAACATGTCCAGGCGGTGCTGGTTGTGGGGCACTGAAGCTCTGGAGATCTAGACACACAGATGGCAACTGATACCTTGGGACTTGGAAGATACCCAAGGAGAGTGTAGGAAGGAAGCAGATCCAGGACAAGTTTCCAAGAAGCAGCAGCATTTCAGCAGTGGGCAGAGGGAGCAAGGCCAAGAAAGGCAGTGAGGCGAGGAGCTGGCGAGAAGGGGAAAGCAGGAGAGTGGCACCAGAGGTCCCCAGGGGAGGGCGTGGCAAGAGGATGGAAGGACCTGGGAGTCAAGGGAGAGGGGGCGACAGTGGATGTTGTACTTAGGGACAGCAAGGTCCTTGGTGACCAGGAGGAGGGCAGTTTCAGTGAAGCCATGGGCCAGAAACGACTACAGAGGTTGAGGTGTGATTGGTAGGTGGGGAGGGGGGACAACTCACACAGTCGGACTGTGACTTATACGGGGAAAGAGGTGGTCACTAGGAGGAACGTTGGATTGAGGAAAGGCATAGCTACATGGATGGATGGATGGATGGATGGAAGGATAGACAGACGATAGATGATAGACTTCTAGTTCCTGTCCTTGAACATACATGGCTTTTTTTCCTGGTTGTACTTAGAATATTCCAGAGTAGAATGTCTTATAGGCAAAGGAGGAGCCAAAAGAAAAGCAAAAAGAGAGCTGGTGCTGGTGAGCAGATGGTATAGTGCCAGATGTTTTAGGATGGAGAAAGAGAAGGATCCACGGCAAGGGGGAGAGGTGGTTTTGGGCAGAAGGAAGATGCCAGCGGCCTGGACTGGGTGCACCACAGAGAAGGGGTATCACCCGGGTCTGCAAACGGTCAGGTCGCTCTGGGAGGGTGATGGTAGTGAACTTCCCTTCACATGATGACGGGCCCAGAGCCAGGAGCCTCAGGGATAAATTAAGATGGTCCAAAGAGGAGTGGAATGAATAGTCTTGGCGGATATAAAGATAGAGTTTAGAAAATGGTTTCTAGGCTGGAACTAGGAGGTGGCCTGTTAGGGCAGAAACTGTCAGCTTTGCCGCCCCCAGGTTGCCAGGCATGGGCCTGGTGCATGCAGATGCTCAGTAAATCTTTGTTTCTTTCTTTGGGTGAGTATCCATTCAGCCAAGTGTTACCAAACCTCTCCACGTACATGCCAGGCCCTGGGATGGGCCACAGCAATGCAGGAGACTGGTAGCCTCCAGTCCACTAGGAACAGAGATAGGAAGGACAAACCTCGATTCAAGGATATTATCGTCACAGGGAGAGGAGTGTGCTGACCTCTGACCTACAGAGTGCAGGGAAAGCTGCTCAGTGCAAGGACATTTGAGCTGGGCCCTGCAGGGTGAGTAGGAGTTTGCCAGGGAAGCACCGATTGGGGAGAACAGCTCTGTTTCCTTGGGAAGAAGGAAACAATTTGAATGAAACATGAGGTGTGTGGACCCCGTGTAAGGTGAGCCCTTGAGTCAGCCAAACACGGCTTCACCACTATCAGATAACCGTGGAAGACCACGGGCACCTGTCTCCATAGCCATTAGGGGAAAGTAGACCCTTATCTAGGCTGGAGGCTTTTCCAGTCAGGGATGTGTTCTGATGTAAGGCCAGAAGAGTCGAGCCTGAATTTCCTGACTCCTGGGAAGGTTGCCACATGGGGCTAGGGGCCCCTGAACACGGATGTCCCAGCCCTGTGGGCCTGCAGGAAACCAGCTGTGAGAAGGGGTCCATTTGTGGTCGCATGGAAGACTTCAGCCAGGCCCTATCCCTGGCCTGGGTCCCTGTGAGGGGCAGAATGTGCCCAGGTTTTCTTGCTGGAGGTACACAGCTGGGGCCTCCCACAGCTTCCCAAGATGCCCTCCCCCAAGTGGCAGATGGCACCCTCAGCCCTCACCACTACTCAGGACAGACGCTGAGACGCAGGACATAGATGCCTTACTTGGGCAGCCAGGCATCTCTCACGGCCTGAAGCTGCTGGGAGAATGAGACTGGATGCCCCCTCCAGGAAAGGGAGAGCCAGGGCCCCCAGGCCACTGACTTCTGGGTTAGTGGGATGTGCGCTGAGGCATCTGAGGGGCATCCCGCACCAGAGCTGATTACGGTGGGCTCCCCACTGGAACCCAGTCAGGATGCTCTGTCTGGGATGGCCATGCAAGGTGACAGACAGAGCACAGGGCTGAGGCTGGACTGTCTGGACCCTGCTCTGTCCACAATACTCTCTGTGATCTTGGCCCTTCCCATATTGAGGTCTCAGTCTCCTCCTCTGTAAGATGGGGAGATTGAACTAGAAGGTCTCTGAGGTCCTTTGATCTTGATGTGGCCTCAAAGGCTGCAAAGAACAGGAGTGGGTCCTGGGCTTCTTCTCTGTCACACTCCCGGAGTCAAGGCCATTGCTCTGGAAGGAGCCCCACAGGGGTTCAGGCACCCTTGAGGGCAGCCTAGCGGAGAAGGTGTGCACACAGAGAGCCCTCTGTGCCTAGGCAAGTTCTTTCTCCAGGAGCCTCAGTGTCCCTTGGTGTAAAATGGGATTAATGGTGACAACCTCTGACGGTTGTTGTGAGAAGAGATGATGCACCTAAAGCATTTGGAAGAGTGCCTGGCACACAGCAACCACCCATGAATGGTGTCAGAGCCCTAAAGGGCAGTGGCTGGAAGGAAGGGCACCGCCCCAAGCTCTGGCTTCACAGGGGCGTGGCTGGGAGCTGCCCTGGAGCCCCGGGGCAGTGTTTGTTTCAAAGGATGGCCCCTGGCTAGATTAGTGTCAGGCTGATACCTAGACTGGGAGTCCAGAGGATGTGGCACTGCATGCCAGCATGCTGGGGGTTGTCATAGGGTGGGCCAAGGTCACCCTTGCTGGTAGCCCTTTGTGCCCCTTGACTCCCAGCTGCTCCTACTGGGCCCAGGTGGGGCTGGGCTCCAGCCTCCTGCCACACTTTGAGAGGCCCCTTTCCCCACCTAGGGCCAGAGGACACTGACCTCATTGTAGTAGGGGCAGTTAGTGGACTCCTTCATGGATGTGTACTTCTTGTCGTCGCCCACCTCCACGCACACCACTGGGTCCATGTTCAAGCCCACCAGCTGCCGAGCCTCAATAACAGTGATGCTGACCTGTGGGCAGGAGAGAGGGAGGCCAGAGGGAAGGTCATGTGAGCCTTGGAGCTGGTCCTGCTGGAGTCAGGCCTGGGCAGCGGGCTGGAGGGTATGGGGAGCCAACCCTGGACTTGGGCTCGAGTCTGAGCACTGCCTCTAATCTGCTGGTGATCCTGGGCTCTGCCCCTGCTAAGCCTCAGTGTCCTCATTTATAAAGGAGGGGCGTGGGCTGGAAAAACTCTAAGTCAGTGTGCACCAGAATCACCATGGGGGGGGGGAGGGCAGTGGTTAAAAATTCTCCACACTCCAGACCAACTCAGTCCAATTTCTGGGGTGAGGCCTGGCATCCATATTTTAAAGCTCCCAGGTGATTCCAAGTGCCTCCCCGCCCCCCAGCATCGATGGCTCTGCCTCACAGAGGGCTGCAAACCCACTTCCCAGGTTTCCTGCACTCAGGAATTAAGCTTTCTACCTCTCCACTTATTTGCATTTAATTTCCTGTTCCAGCATTTCTAATTTTAAGCCTGCAGCATGCTGATGTCCTTGTGTTTTGGAATTTGGCTCCCTTTCCACATTCCTGGTTGCCCGCCTTTTGTTTAATTTTTTGGTCTGAATGCCCACTGAGGTGTTGGTGCCCACTGGAGCCACCTTTTCTGGCTTGATGCTTGTGTGTTGCGTGTGCTATGTGTCTTTTCACTGGTGTTCAGCTCCCTGGAATTTTACTTCTATACTGGGAAGCCCTTTTTTCAGTTGTTCATTCATTCAACAAATATGTGCATAGAGATACAGAGAGAGAGGCGTGTGTGTACATACTTTTCCTGAACCCTCATTTTAAGCCATTAGTTCTTGCTCTGAATTTGGAGGTGTCAGTCCCCATCAGGGTGACTGTGACCGGCATCGAGCCCCGGACCTGATACATTACCAGGTCTGGGAGCAGGTGACCATGCAGGCTCACTGAGCCTCAATTTTCAAAGCTAAACTCAGAGACACCACCTATCCATAAGGCTGTGTGAGGGTTAAGTGGGATAATGTGCATCCTAGTGCTTCATAAACAGTAGAAAGTTCTAGAAAATATGAGCTATTGTTATAAATATCTTCTCAAATAGAATTCATCTTCAGTTAAGTGGTTGGTCTTCCAAGCAGGCAGGGTCATGTATGATGCTTACAATTGTTTTGCTGGACTCGAACTTGCATTTTAACAAAATAGCCTATGCTAAGCTAGTATGAGCATTTACCTCAGCACATTCTTCTAATGAAACTCTACGGTTTGCTTTTTACGCTTCTTATGTTGGAGATTTGGTATTTTAATTACTGTGCTTTGATGCAACTCCTAAATACGATTTCACTCAAGAGAATTATTTTCCCTTTTCATAAAAAATGAATAACCATGAAAGTCATCATCCACTGTGTCCATCAAAGTCTTATAAATATTCTGAAGGCCAAGAAAAATCCACATATCAAAACTAATGATGTCAAGAAAAATGAGAACTCCGATGCCAATGAGAATGTTGTCAAGAAAGTATATAGAACTGGAAACTGGACATTTACAAACTGAAGTGACACTTGAACTACGCTTCTATTTGGAACTTGAAGTGCTAAAGGGCATGGGGCTCAGAATCCAGAGCTCTGAAGATCAATAATCACCATTTCTTCAGGGAGCTAGAAAGGAAATAGAGCTAATTAACTTGGCTCTGAGAAGTTTACTGTGAGGAGAGTAAATAGACATTAGAACATTCTTTGCACCGTAATTTATAGGGTTTTAACCTCTATGAAGCTTTTTATACCAGAATCTTCTTAAATCTCATTATTGTTTCCCACAATTAACACATCCTCTCCTCTCCATAAAAAATAAAAAAAGGCTTTCTGTAACTTAAGACTGGGAAGTAGACACAGTTTTGGAATGATAAGATACTAAGGATACGCCATCAGGAGAGTAACCTTCCCACTGTGAGTGGTTGATTGGTTTTTCTGTTTTCCATCCAGAGGCCAGGCCGTGATGCTAACCTTTTTGCCCTCTACTCCTTCTCAGGGATGAGGATCAAGGCCGCCCCAGGGAGAGAAGCCCAAGGTGACCTGCCCTACATACCATCTGTATCATCCTCCAGGAAGCATAGGATGCCCTGACATGATCCAATCTGATTCTCATCTAAAGTTATAGGACCGCCCAGCAACCAGACCCCACCTGCACTGATACCATTTTAACGATTTTTTTCATGATCTTTCCTTTGTCTTGTAAAGAAATAACTCATATACCTATGCCTTATAAATTTAGCCCTAACCCTCAACGCACTGCAGCTCTTACTGCCCATGGATCCTGTCCCCCATGCCTGCAGCTCTTACTGTCCATGGGTCCTGTCCCCATGTCTGCAGCTCTTACTGCCCATGGGTCCTGTCCCCCATGCCTGCAGCTCTTACTGTCCATGGGTCCTGTCCCCATGTCTGCAGCTCTTACTGCCCATAGGTCCTGTCCCCCATGCCTGCAGCTCTTTGCTGCCCATGGGCCCTGTCTCCATGCTACTCCATGCTATTCTCTGAATAAAAGAGCACTACTGCCAGACCTTGAGAGTCCAAGAAATCTTTCTTTCCACTCCTTGGCTCCCCGAGCCTGCATCATCAGGACCCAAAGTTTCCACCTTCCTCCACTGAGCAGAGCCAACAATGGTGGACAACCCTGGCTGGAAACTCTGATACCCGAGAGGTAGGAGGTGGAGAAGGGAGGAGGGTAAAGGGTTGAAAGGAACAAAGGATGGGGGGCAAAGAGGGGCCCCAGAGGGTGCTCTTTGCCGGCTGAGGGGTGGCCTGAGGGGAACCCTGAGAGTACACGATTGAGGTGGCTCTGGGGTGTTGGTGGGGGAGGGGAAGTTCATTCCTGCTGACCCCCTCCCCCCACCTGGGGCTATAGGGAGGGGCAACTGTATCACCTGGACTTGAAATTTAAAAAAATTCTGGGGAGAGGATTAGCCATCCCCTCCTCCACTCTCCAATCATCAGCAGAGAACTTGATCTTGCCAGGGTGGAAGACGAGGAGGAAAATGAGCCACAAAGAGACCAACTGACCAGCTGACCAGGGAGACTTTTTGGTAATTGACTATTCCGCCCTCTCCTTCCAAGATAAGGGAGATAATCCCCAGGTGGCTTCCTGAAAGCCATTGCAAGGAACAATGCCGCGTGTAACTCTACACCTCTGTCCTGAGAGAACTCGAGTCATGGTGCTTTGTGACCTGCTTCTGAGGGAGGGATCTGATCAGGCTGCCACAACATCTGCTGGGCGCTGGAGATGAGAGGCAGGGGGCCCCCTATTACTGCTCTTCTGGAACATCCTTTACCTTCCCTCAGCTCAGGTGGCAGAGATGGGACACAACCAGATAAGCATTTTGCGATCACTCCAGTGATGCATAGAGGATGAAGTGGAGGAGGCAATATGAGGGCAGGGAGACCAGATAGGAAGCGAGTGCAACATTGCAGTCGAGGCTCGGGGTCCAGGATCAGTGGCAGGGGAGATGATGGGGAGGTGAAAACTGGAGAGATATTTGGAGGTGAAAACGTATTAGGTCTTGGTTCCAGGAAGAGCAGGCAGGGAACAGACTGAAGACTCCATGACCCACCAAGGACGTCTCTGCCCAGTGCTGAGCTTTGCTCACTCTGATGGGGAAACTGCATATTCACAGGCAGGAGATCGTGGCTTCTCGCTCTTGAGATGCCAAGGTTCAGGACAGGGTTTGCACATGACATGCGTTCTAAACAGAAGAAACAAAGGGTGTGGGTGCACCATGGTCTCTTCACCACTTCGAGCCCTCAGGATCCTTCCTGGGCCTGAGTTCAGCTAAGGCCCCTCTCCTCTCACTAGCTGGGGGCGCTGGCTGAGGTCTTTCTAACTCAGCAAAGCCAAGTTCTCCAAGCCAGGGAAGTCTCTTCTGGTAGGTTTCCTTGCTTTATACATTGTACTTATTGGAAGCAAGAGTAAATCCATATTTGCTTCCTCATGGCTCTCCCTCAAAGTGTGTTAACACTTGCAGTTGAGATGTGAATGAACCTGTCAGACACTGTCTTATCAGCTTAAATACAACAGTTCTGTTCAATTCAGAATATTTACAAAGCATTTGGAGGAAGAACATCTGATCCATTTAATACAAGCCTCTGGCAGGAAGCAGTCTGAAAGAGCTCTGCAAAACAAGTAGCAGGCAGTGAGCTGAAGATGAACAGGGACCAGAGGGAGCGACTGTCCGAAGGCTTAATTAGAGAGAACCTGGTTGCTCTGAGAGCTGCAGCTGGGCACCCTGGGGTTTGAACCCTGGCTCTGCCTTTGAATAATGGGTGACCTGGGGCAAGCTCCTTACCCTCCTCGCGCCTCAGTTTCTCCCCTCTGAAATGGAGTAATACCTATATTTGGACCATTGTAAGAATTACACTAACTTAAATGGAAAACACACATGCAGCTCCTAGTATAGTGCCTGGCACAGAGTAAACTTTCAAAAAATAATAGTTACATTAACTGCAACAACAATGCCATCATTTTCTATGTGCCCTTCTGTGTCAGGCTGGTGACACTGCAGAGGGAATGGTATGTGACTATGGGGGTCTTTGTTCTTTGGGATTTTTCTCTTTTAGCACATGGAGAAGCGAAGCCCTGAGCCAGTCCCTTGGAAAGGCCCTCAGATGCAGACACTGTGTTTGGGTTTTGATAGAGGTGAGGAGGTGACGTGCCCAAACCTCCAAGAAGTCCAGTGGCTTGAGGTTGTCTGAAACCCCAGGGCAGGGCCACTTGATACCGGAGCTAGTTCTCCAGCACCTGTGAAGATGGTCACCAACTGGATGAGAAGGAACTGAAGCAAGGGTTAAGGGAGACAAGGTATGTCCCGAGGAAATGTGACCAGATGTACCAGACACAAGGAAAGGTGCCATCTAGTCCATCAGACAGACGCCTGAGTGAGGTGAGGCGGGGCTGCCCTTACAGCAGGAGTGATGTGCATGGGACTTAGGAAATGGGCGTCAAAGACAACCGGTAACCTGGGACAGGGGGCTCACTCTGATTCTGGGGTCCAGTGTTGGCAACTAGGGCAGGAAGTACAGCGGCAGACAGGTGGGGTCTCCTGGAGGCTCTGTCCCCCTTGACCAGCAGCATACTTGCTAGGAATGTCCAGCAGCCTCCTGACCTATAACTGAGTCTTGTTAGTCCTCAGGGGAGGGTCTAGAGCAATAGATGGTCCCAGGGCCCTTCTTGCTTCCAGTTTATAAGTAAATACTAGGTACTTCTGGCTTGTACATTAGACTTCTGTGAGTTGTGTTAGTGTAATTCAGTCTCTCTGGCTCTGATCAACTCTGGGAGGAGAGAGAAAATTAAGGATGTGGCCCTGCAAAGCTGAGGATCAGGTGCAAGGCTGGGAGGGCTGCAGTGGGGCCCAGTTTCCCCGTGTGGCCCTCTCCCAGCAGCTACCAGCCATGCTCACGACCCGGCCTGCCTGCACCACGGCCACATCAACAGCCTTACAGCTTCAAACTCTCCCTATCTCGGCCATTTTGTCTCCAGTCTTAGAAACACACAAACAAAAAAAATTCAGTGTTAATTTCAGAAAATACAGAGAAGCAAAAAGAAGGAAAAAACACCAAAATTCTCAGCATCTGTAGATAACCAAGACTGACATTACTTCCAGCATTAAAATAATATAAAATAACAATTTCAAAAAACACACCAAAAAAATCTTTCTTCAGAGGCTCTTATCTTAACTGTTGGAACATTTTTTGGTGTGTAGTGCTACCTGATCTCGTTGTGGCTTTTCCAGGGCCCTCCCACTTTATGGAGTCCAGTGACAGACACAAAATCCTGGGAGGGCTCTGACCAGCGGAAGCAGAGTTCTCAAGCTTTTCTTTGGGTTTGTACCTCTCTACTTACGACACTTCTGTGAATACCTCCTAGGAATAAGCTCGCTTTTGCAACTTACATTCAGCTTGTGGTTCTCTATGACCCCCAGATCTGCACCTCCACAGAGTCTACAATGCACATCTGGCCAGAGCCCCCACTAGAGCAGAGTCTGAAAGCCACGAGGGCTCCAGGCACCTACCTACCTGGTAATCCATGGGCCGCCCGGCACTTGGCTCCATCTTAATGTCTGGCTTGGATCTGAGGAGGAGAGAATATTGTCAGGCCTGGTATAAGGAGACTGCTTGCAGGAGGGGAGGAGGGCACTCGCAGTGGTTAGACCTTGGAGAAGGACAGAAGGACAGAATGATGGTCTTCAAACATTCCTGGACCACCAAACAGAATGAAGGTTAGTTGTTCTCAGAGGCCTCAACAGAGAGGACCAATGAAAGGCAGGAGTAACAGGGAGACAGACACTAGATGGACAGGTTCAAATATGGGCTGGGTGGCTCTGTGATTTCCCTAGGCCCCGGGGTGTTCAACGACCCAGGAACAGGACTGCAGTGGTTGTACTCTGCCTTGGCAGGGAGAGAGGTGAGAGAGACATCCAGGAAAAAAACGGGCAGGGTTAGGAAGAAGCTGCCCACAGGCCCTGATTCCTCCCCACCCAAAGTCTAGACACGGCAAGATGGGGCCTGCCTGACGGGGTACAGGTGGTCAGGGCTGCGGGGCACTGGCCCACTCACCGCTTGTTGGAGACATTGGTGGTGAGCGCTGTGACAGAGGCTAGAGACACTGTGTCAGGATCCAGCCCATCCCCCAGCCGAATGGCCAGGCGGTCAAGGTCGTCCATTTCCAGCACAGCTGGTTCATCTGGGGAAGAAGAAAGGCCGGTGGACTGTGCTGGACGGTGGGAGAGTGATTGCCTTCCCCCTTTTGCTTTGGTGTCCAGGAAGCTAAGAGCCAAATTCCAGGTTTCCTTGGTAGCATTTGCTTGGAATGTTACGGCCTGTATATCTGCAGTTTTTTTCTACTTAGTCTGGATCTCTGATCTTAACCAATATTATATCTGGTCTTGCTTTTTTATTTTAATTGAATGTAACTCTTTTACTGTATATTATTTATGTAAGAACTGAATATCCTCTGTGGAAGAAGGTAGGGAATAAAGAACCCACACCTATGTACCTCTCGTAACAATGCTACCATTTATTGAGTGGCTACTATGCACCGAGCACAATGCCAGGCACTCTATACACCTATCTCTAGTCCTCATAGCCACGTCCCGCCAAGACAGGCATTATTCTCATGTCACAGACGGGGAAACTGAGGCTTAGGGAGTAACTTATCCATGTAAAATAGCTGATGGACTTCAGAACCTAACCCTGTAGTGATGTGTATTAACCCAATGAGATGAAGAAATGACGATTCTGAGAAGCCACCCAAGGATGGTAGGTTTGGGCCTCAGCCAGCAGCTGCATCCTCTCCAATCTAGGAAGGAGAAAGGCACAGCTGGAACTGGCGTGGGGGTGAGAGAAGGGGGAGAGATTCTGGGGCCAGTGGGCCACACAGGAGATGCTGGGGAGGGAAGCTGGAGCCCTGGGGGTGGGCATGAGATCAACACACTTGAGTCAGAAAGCTACACACAGCTCCCTGATCCACTCCATCTCTCCCCTGTCTTCCCCCGGTCCCCTCTGCTTCCTCTTAAACATCTGCCTGGCCCCCTCCCCAGCCCACTCCTCCAGAGGGACCAGTGCCACAGCCCACTCCAGCCTCCCAGGGCCCACCCTGCCTCTCTCCCCCAGGGCCTTCCCTGCACCCGGTGAGAGGGTGTGGGGAAAAGGCAGGACAGTGAGTCTTGCCACCCAGTAAACATTCTCGGGACTCTGGTTTTCCCCTAGAAATAGGGAATTAGCCAAACAACTTTGGGTTTTTGTTATTCCCTTTTCTATTTAAACATCTCTAGGCTTCTGTGTGGAGAAAAAGAATGGGAGCGAAGAGGGCAGGAGGAGCCTTTCATAAACAGGCGCGCCAGGCACACGGCTGCGCTCAGTTCTAGACCAGTAGACAGACCGGTCCCACCCTCAGCTGAGAGCGCCCCCTTCTTGAGGACCACTATCAGACCTGGCTCCTCCGCCCGCCAATGGGAGGCCAGGCCCCGCCCAGGTGGCTCCGCCGGCCAATCGCAGGAGAGCCTGTTGGGCGCTGCCCGCGAAGGGGCGGGGCTTGGTCTCCATCAGGTGCGGAGAGACCGCCCGCCTGGACCCGGGCTGGGACCCGGGCTGGGGCGCGCGCCGTACCTTGTCTTTGGGGTTCCTCCTTGTGCGGCCGGTTCTTGCCGAGCTTCATGGCAGAGAACACGCTTCTCCCGGCTCTGTGAGGGGCCCGCCAGGATGAGGGGGAAGACATACAAACATAGAAGAGCAAAACCCGAGAGAACCCGTAAGAGAGAGATCCAAACCCCAGCCCCTCACCTGCTGGTCCCGAGAGAGATTATTGGGGGGCGAACTTCCTAACTTGGGAGCCATGAGGAAGAATTCGGGCAGAGGAAACCCTACCACTCCCTCCTTCCCCATGCCCTCACACCACCGAGGAGTAGGCCGAGCCCCAGCGACCAGAGAAGGTGGCATTCAGCTGGAAAGAACCGTTTAACTGGAGCCCCTGGGGGTCTTGGACTGATCTCAGCCCCCTCAGTCCAGTCTTAGAGCTCCAAGCTGCGTCCGTGCCCCCGAGCTCATCCTCTCTGTCCCTGCACCCCACTCAGCTGGTTGGAAAGAAACCAGAGGACCCGAGACAAAGCATCAGAACAGAAGGGCAGGAACAGGACTCAGAGGGGCAGAGGCCGAGGAGGAGGTGGAGATGTGGTTGAAACTAGCTGGTCACTTCCCACATGGCTGTGGTGCGCAAAGCCTGCCTTGTCTTTCCCCAGTCTCGCTGCTTCCTGGGATCCTCCTTGGTCCTCACTGAAAAGGAGGAGATGGTCCTTTTCTGTCTATCTTTGGTCCTGGCTTTGCCCCTTCTGTCTGTCCCCTCTCACTGCAGAATCCCCCGTCCACCAACACCCAGGAATGTATGGCAGGCTCTGTAGTTCCTACCTCTTCCTCTGGCTTGGTGTGGCCTTGTGCCCCCAGGTGAAGGGACTTGCAGTCAGGGGTGCTGAGGGAAGGGGGCAGGGGTCCTCACTGTCCCTTCAGTGATGTCCCTGCAGCGGAGCCTGTGGTCCCTGGCGCCAGGAGGGACCAGGAGTAGGATCAGCAGGGGGTAAAGTGCAATATTCCATTACCCCATGAATATTGCATGGGCCGGATACCTGACTCCCTCCACTTCCCGTTCTCCCTCCTCCTGGGTGTGGCCCTGTCATCCTGTAGGCCCAGGTGGGGCGAGCTGCAGACTCCAACCCTGAGCACACCCACAGCAGAGCCCACCCATCTTTGGGTCACGCATCTCCCTGTGGAGGCTTGACTATGGTTCCCAGGACCCACTGTTCTTTATGCTGGGCAATGTGAGATTGGGGAAAACCTCTCTGGCCTTGTAGAGATGGCCTAGAAACCTCAAGCCCCTCTACCGGGGTTGGGGAGCCAATTTCATCCCTCCAAACCTGGCCCTATCCTAGCCCCACACTTTTTCGTGACTCTTCATGTGCCAGGCAAGACGTGAAGGGATGTGTGTTGGTATCCCAGTGAGAGAGCAACCAGGAGCCACCCATTTCATGTGGCACCAACTCAGTTCAGGAAACACTAGTATGTTCGTAATTTCCTAAAAAGGCATGAGGTGGGTGAAAGAACGCTGGGGTAACAATGATGTGTCTGCACTAGCCGGCATCATGTTGTCTGGGATGGAGCAACGGGAAGAAAGTGAAAAAAAGGTACTCTAAAAAAGGAAAACTGATGCCTTTAGAATTGTTTAAAAAAATTTCCCCTCTTAATAAGGGATGATGCTATATATGTATGCCATATACATATGGAGCAACTACTGGGGGCCAAAGGCGTTTCCAGATATTTGCTCATTTTATCTTCAGAGCAATGCTGGGAGGGACATATGCTTCTCCTCACTCAGTGCAAGGAGGACTGAGGCTCAGAGAGTTGAGGTTGAAGCATACAGCTTCTGTCTCCATTGTGCCCATGTTTACAGAGAAGGGGCTCATTCAAAAATAACCTATGAGCATCAACACATTTTGGAAGAGATTGCTATGAACGTTAAATGACTGGTGACATAACATTGAACAGGTCAATGAACCATTAGAAACCATCGTGTGGTGGTGAGAAAGGGACCATTCTGCCTGGCTTAGGCTGAACCATCCTGTGGGATTGCTCTCTGCCTGGTGGCCTTAAGAGCAGGGGTACTGGCTGGACTCTGACCCCTGCAACAGGAAGCGTGCCTAGCGTGGATCCTCATGCCACTCCCCGTGTCAGTGTTTGGGATTCCTCACTGCTCTGACTGCCACTCTCCTGGATTACCCAGGAGTCTCCTGGAGGGCCCTGTGTTTGATTTATACAATCACTTCTTGGCCATTCCTGCGCTGTGCCATCCTTAGAGTCCCAAGCCCCACTTCATGGGGGTCTGTCCCCGGGATGCTGTCGCATGCAGCCTTCTCCGACACAGCCTTGCCCTCACATCATCCCCCTTTGCCCTGCTGACCCCGAGAAAAGTGCTCTGAGATGGCAGGTCAAAGCGATGTGTCTGGTCAGAAGCAAGCCTAGCCTGGAGAAGCCTGCTGCTAGGCATCCTGGGACAGGATCTGGCCCTGCTACCTGAGGCCCAGAGAAGGTTCAGGTAGCAGGGAATCAAGGCTTTCTGATGCTGGTTCCAAGGGCCTACTCAAGTGGAAAAGAGCTTCCCCTTGAGCAGACATGGCCCTTGAATTCCAAAGCCACCTTATTCCTTAAAACAAACATATTTGGAAGTGAAGATTGAGACTTTTTAAAAACTATACTTATCCATCCATTCTGTACCATACCCTGATGCAATTCAAAGGAGAAACCCCTCTCCCCAACCCTGCATGATTTTAACCATCTCAAGTAGATAGGTTCACTGCTGGAACTCTCGTGTGTCTGGGGGTATCTCTAAATGATGATTCGCCCCTTTAGGAAAAATACAGAATATGTAGGTTAAATGCAATTTCCAGAATTCTTACTATAGGCTCTGTGCCTCTGTCTGTTCCTCCTAGGCTCACTCTTCAATTCATCTGAACTGTGGGCAGTAGAGCGTGATGTCATCGGCTATCATTGCCCTTTGTCATTTTCTGATGGATGACACATCAGAAGTTCACTATGGAAGAAACCTTTTCTTCCCATCACAGCACTGGCTCCTGGAAAGCACTGTGCCTGCTTCTCTTGGCAAAGGGTACAGGTTATTTTTGAAATACGTGTTAACTTCATCAGGGAATTTTGAAGATTATCTACTTGCATTAAAGAGTTAGATTTCAAAAAAATGCAATTTGTTGATTAGGTTACTGGTGTACTGAGAATTTTCTTTTAAATGAAGTTCTACATTTGGTCTAGTTGGGTTCCCCAATTACTGAAGATATAATTCGATGAGAAATAGACAAAGAAAACAAACCAATAGTCAACTCAGTGAAAAACTACTTTGCAACCAAGTGGCTCCTTATTCACGGATGACATGAGGAGCCAGCGGAGGTGGGCCTTGTGGACTCTCTGAGGATTAGTCATCACCTCTGGGCTTGCCCATTGCTGGGTTCAATGCCATCAGAATGATACGCACTTACAATTTAGACTGCTACTTCTCTCTAGAGAAAAGATTTTAAAGTTAGTTCACTCACTGTAAACTTTTTCATTTACGGGTCTGATGATTTCTTTGCTAGTTCCTTGGCTCAGAGCTAGAAGGACGTCGTTGTGGTTGGGTGATGTACTCAAGGTCCTAGGGGAGAGCTCGGCATTCATAATGACCTGGGAACATTGGCCAAGCTAAATTTAGTGAGCTGGGTGTTTCATGAATTTGGAGCTATGTATTATTCTGGAGGTAGTGACTTAGAGCAATGTGGCTGCCCAGGGCTTCTCCCCCCTGACTGCCTTCAGTCAGAACTGTCTGGGCTCACGAGCTCAGGCCTCAGGTAATCGGGAGAAACAAACTCCTGCCTAAGAGAAACACAGTCTGTGGTACTTCTCTGCATTGTTTAAATGGCCAAATTTTCAAAACTTGGGGAATAGTCTCCAAGGGCCTGTGATGGGTTTATTTCTCCTGTTTTCCATGCCCCAAGTACAGGTAATTTCATAATTGCAGCCTTCACAGTCATCTTTCAAAGTGTGTTGAATTTCAGACGTGTTAGTTTAAGATATCTTCCTACATCTGGGCAGGACAGGTTGACCCTTCATACAGAACCTGTCTCCAAACGGGCCTGCTTGCTCATGCATCCTTGTCACACCAGCCGGCTTGAGAGACCCTCGTGTACTTAGCCCCAGATTTGCCAGGGAAGCTGGCTCCTCAGCTCTCCCTGGTGGCCCAACCCCTTGCAAGGCTCAAGCCAACAGCATCATGGAGATAGGTTTTCCCGTCTCCCCAGGTGAACCTGTCCCTGAATCTCAAGTCCTCATAGGGAGCATGAGCTTTTTCATGGCCTGAATCTTAAGTTTTCCCAACTGCAACTTACACCTGTCTCCACGTATGCCTCCTCAGTGGAGAGAGAAACCAGCCAGCTTTGCCACATGCTAACCTTTCAGAGATGTAAAACTGTTTCCACAGTTTTTATTCTCCAGGGTAAAGAGTTTCAACTTGTTGAATCTCTTCTTAGAAATCCCATTTTCCTACCCTTTCCATCATCCTAAGGCTCTACACATTAAAATAAGAATAATAAATGCTAGTTTACTTTATTTCATATGTTAATTGGCGATGGCAAGACGTTAGGATGGGGTCGTGCTAGGGAACCAGCATTTACTGTGGGCCTACTGTGTGCTTGCACTCTGAGGCAGCTCTTAGTCTGCCTGTGGCCAGTCTGAATCCCTGGGGTCTAGCCCAGGACAGACTGGGGAGCTGGAAATCAAGAAGGGCTTTACAGCCTCACTGCTCTCAGACAAGGAGCCCGGGGGATGGACAGGTTATCCGTGTCTCATCTAGGCCTTTTTTTTTTAGTGTCCATGCAGAAACCTGACCCCTTGAAACCATTCCCTAAAGAGGGACCCGCAGCTCAGCATCTGCCATCATTTCCCACACCCTCGAGGATGCGACTCCCTGGCTTCCTCTCCAAGCTGGGCACATGGTCTGCCTGAGGCTTCTTTTCTTGTTCAGAACCTGGCAAACTCCTTGACCCTTCAGGTCTCCGTGCCTGAGCTCTCCCCATGCCATACCAGTGCCGTGGTATCATGCTTTTGCTCGTGTGTAACAAGTGGGAGTTGGAACTCGATATGCTCTTGTTAAAGC